TGCAGCTGGTCATTCAACAACTAATTTTGCGACTCTTATGTAGCCTCCTTATAAATAATTATAGAATGAGTGAAATATTTATGCCACAGGTCTCATTTTCAACGTGTCGCGGCACATCGATATGTTAAGAAACTCATATTTTAAACGTCGTACCGATTATTTGTTCCAAATTGACTTTGGTACGAAGTATGACGCGGGTATTATTACGTTTTCTAATAATCTCCTCCTGTCGATTAAGCGAGAACTTTGTTTGCGCGAACATTATGTAATTTTCATTTAAGTTACGACCGTCGGGGCGGAGCGTCGACGGGAAAAAAAGGACGCCCTGGGAACAGTGATCAATCACGAATTTCGCTGAATCGTCGGTCGTCTCCGCGGACGAATATCCCAGCCGTAGTCAGAAATAAGTCTCACCCACGGATATAGAACTGTATAATTAATTTCGTCAATTCGCTGAGGGTGGATTTGATATGACGTGCTCTCGCGACGGATTTTTCTTCCTTCTCTTCTCTATTTTTCCTCCGGCAATTTCGACCTCGCTTTGGCGCGAAATGCATTTTTCGCCGCGAGCCAATCGTTCCTCGCCGGTGGCTATACGTCAGGTTGCAAAAAAAGCGCGCTTTGTGTGTGTCTTGGTATACGATGCCGTTACGGCGCAGTGACGAGACTGTTATCAAATTCCAGAATATTTTTGTTAATTTTAATTAACCACGGCAGGCAAACAAATACACATTTGTCCGTAAAATGCTTTCAGTTAGTTACAGTTGTGTAATCGTATTACACGTATACATATAAGCGTTTTCCACCGCACGCGTTACACGTTGTATATTCTGATACATTTTAAGCGTTCTCGTTACTCAAATATTAATCCGTAAAAGTTTTCCTGCATCGTCCGAGCACGTACCTCAAAGTTGCTTCGCAAAAAAAAAAGAAGAAAAACAGATACCGGGTGGATATTTATGTTTTTCATCATTCACTATGTATCGGGAAGGATGTCGGGAACCATCGATCCGCCGTCGAGCGATGCGCGCCATGCAAACAGCAGCGTCGAACGCGGAAAAAAGAAGCTACTTACGTGTCAGGGAAAGACATTCTACGTTCTGTCACGATTCATATTAGACGCGAACAAACGCGGGGCGGGGAAACACACATCTATACGGTTTTATTAAACTTCGTGTAATATTGTAACTACACTTGCCGCCAGGTCGAGTGTACAAGACGCAGTTTGCATCGGTCGGAAAACGCGATGCAACTGCCGTAAGTTTTCGATAAGACATAATTTCTCGGAAGAGACTCCCGGCGAAAGGACTAGCTGATTACTCAAAAGCGACGCTTTCAAAATGTTCGGGTTTACCCAGCCCGATGGCAGAGCTTCTCGCTCTCGCGAAGTAAATCTTTACCGTTTGAAGTTACGTGGGTGGTACATACTTTGATACATCTTCCGCCCGTTTCCGTTCGTTTATTTATGAAAGGACCAGAATAAAGGCCGGTTTTCACACGCAATGATTAGTGGCGCCAACTGACTGGCATTCATTGGCGCCAGAACCGACTAGCAAACTTACAAGTATTTACACAGTGATTGGCGTATACTATGGAAAATATTTCACATTTATTAAACACACAGTAAATGACAACAACCATATAACCTCAAATTTTGAGGTTATATGCTTTGGCCAATAACCGCCAGTAAACGCCACATTACTAGCGCCAGTTTGCATCAAGTGTCTACACTTGCATTTTTACTGGCATTAGTCGACTGGCGCGGCCTGGCGCCACCAATCATTGCGTGTGAAAACCGGCCTTAAGCGAATGAAGTTCGACACAGGGAAAGGCGTTCCCCCAGGCATGCGCCTCGCGTATACTAGTATTTAGCTTCCAACGCGTTTAAAATTACGTTTTAAAATTATTTGAACATTCATGTATTCAGAGATGCGTTTACGGAACGTCTCGCGCGTGCTTGAGGAACTTCTTTCCGCGTTATTTCTCGGCATTTAAATTCGTATACAACAGGATGTTTTGTGATGGAGAGTAAACAAGGCGATACTTCACGCTGCGAACTGAGAAATAATTTTTCCTTCGGCAAAACTTAACGTTATTTTTTCGCAGTTTATATAAAGTTCTTAAAATTAAACATCTTGGTAGCTGAGGGTGCCTCCAAGTCGAAACGCTGTTAAAGTAAAGTTTGAAATTACGCGAAGAATAAGATTTTGCTATCCATCCCACGTCCACGAAGCAATCCTTGTCCGCGAAACATCTGATTCCGTTTTTTTTTTTTAATTTTAGTTTTTTATTAGTCTAGAACACCACCGATAAAATGTATAACGACTTTTAATTTGTGCCCTTCTTGCCACGCGGATTCGAGCAGAATCCGGATAGGGCTCGTAAAACGTGGGGGGGTAATAATTTCCCGTGGACGTGTCCATTATGCAAGAAACGTAAAGATGTATCCCTGCGCATTTAGGTGAAACTCCGGGTGACTACAGAGAGCTGGGATACGGCACGGAGGGCGCCGGGGTGGCCAGAAACGGATCCTTGGTGATCCCGCGGGTATCGCGGGATCACGCCGGATTCTACCTATGCCAGGCGAGCAACGGCATCGGGCCCGGCCTCAGCAAGCTCATTCGGCTAACGGTTCATGGTAAAATATTCACGCAACCTAGAGTTACTGTCGTCGTCTGGATCCCGGATCCCGGGTGTGTCCCGGGTGGTATCCGGGATTTCGAGCGGGAGTAGTTTTAAATCATCCGGAGTGATCGAAACCCGGGTGGTTTCTTCATCGCCGTGGACAATTACGTTAAAAGTGTTTCACGCAGTAAGAATTGTTGTATCATAGAATATCAATCGCGGGTGATGTCAGAGGAAATTATCTCTGTCTCTTTCTGAAATTATCTTTGGAGATTTAATGGAGAGGGCGGCAGGAATTTAATTTGTTATTACACGATATTCACTACGCGGGCGGCGATATGTAATGCAACAGTCATGAATTTAATAAATTTGTTAATTTGAATTCGCACACACACACACACACACACACACCGGCATGTCCGCCGGAAATTCAATAGCATTACTACAATATTCGTCACTGGATAATTGCTTCGCATCACTGCATGAAATCCTCTCTCTCTGTGAGTGGGATACACACACACAGGCGCGTACGAACGCACGCGGTTATTCGGAATAGCATCATGCGTCGATAATTGATCTTTTTTTCGCTTGGCTACGAAATAAACGCGCATTCAACAAAGTGCCGTAGATTGGCCGTGCGATTTCGACGCAAACAAAATTGAATTGCTCGTTTGTAATTACAAAAAGGGACATCCGCGAGTTATAGCGAAAATTGTTTTTATTGTCTTGTCCTTTATTTTACGTTCATTATGCGGCGCCGCGCCGCGCCGCGCCGCGCCGCGGGTGCCGAGAGTGTAAAACGTTCTGATGAAAAATTCTCACTGCAGCGGGCCCCCAGGTGACAGTAAGGACGCGGCAGGAATCAGTGCGACGAGGGGAAAGCGTAATATTGCGCTGCGAAGCCGAGGGAGACGCGCCTCTTGATCTTAGCTGGCGTGTTCGTGACAGCAAGATCGATCCTAATTACGACGTTAGGTTCGTATCGGAATTAATTATGCGTCTTTCGCGTGAAAGCTCACAGCATTTGAAATGCAGCATATACCACGTTTGACGCAAGCGTCATTTTGACGCTACACTATCATCGTGCATTAATTCGCAAGAACGTTCAAAGCGAAAACGAAACTAAATTCGCTATTTATGGGTATCCTCTTTGGACGCGAGAAATCCGTATCCAACAATTGTACGTACATATTTGGAATTCCACTTTGCACATTAAAACAGAGATAATTCATATTAAAACTATATATTACATATTAGCGACTGCAGCTTATTTTAGGTACGACAAACATATCCTGTATTTGAATTGAATTATTCAAATTATCGGTCCTTCATATATTACAAATCTGCCTATAATTGTTTTAGATTATTTTAGGTTAATGCATTTTATGTATAACAGAACATGCAAATTCCATTTTTAAACCATTACAGATACATATAAGGGGGAAAAAATTTATTGCCGCAGTAAACCATCGCTGTTACTATTTCGACGCGAAAATAGCCAAACTTTGCTCCTATAACCAATTATGTGATATTACCTCAAAACCTGTTTTTGTTAGTAACGGGAAAATTGTACCGAGCGAATTTGTTTGTAGAAGTGTTCGTTCGCGAACTCGTTAATTGACTGCTAAAGCAAAGTAGTCTATTCTTGGAAAATACATTTAATTCGCCAATGTGGAATCGCTGCTTTAATGGCGGAATAAGAATTAATTTGTAATGAAATAATATACCTGCAGATTCTGAGATTAATTTCAGTTTATAAAAATTAATATTTACCAACATGATCAAATTATCTTGCTATCCAATATTTATCGAAATTTTCGTTACGGCGATAGAATATACCGAATAATCAACAGATTTTCCTCCATCGTAATTAATTCATCTTAAACATATAGCTTTCGAGCTGAAATTTCTCAGCCCGATCAGCCGGGGGTTATCGATTAATCGCGTGACCGCTCCTCTCGGGTTGTCCAGGTACGCGGTAGACAATACGGCGGACGCGTCGGGACGCGTCACCACCGAGCTGCGGATCGTCCAGGCGAGCCACATGGACCGCGGCGACTACGTCTGCGTCGCCGCGAATGCGTACGGTCGTGACAAGGCGACGATCCACCTGCTTGTGCAGGAGCCGCCCGACTTCCCACGCAATCTCCACGTGGCCGAGCAGGGCAGCCGGTCGATCCTGCTGGCCTGGTCCTCGCCGGCGACCGATCGGGACGCGAGCCACGTCAGCTCGCCCATCACCAACTACATCGTGCAGTACAAGGAGGCGCAAGGTACAAACTCTCCTTCCTCCTTTCGTCTGCCTTTTTCGGTGTATGCGCGCGAAACCTCGCTCACTATCGATCGAAAGCCCGAGAGCATCTCGTTATAGATCGTTGCATTTCTGGCCAACGACGCCGATTCCTCGGCACATTGACCGCATCACATATGTATATCGTGTATCACACGATATCACAGCTCAGATACAACTCGCAACACGGTTCCTAAAATTTGACTTTTTCGATATCTGATTTTCTTTATTCTAATCAATTAAACGACGAATAAAAATAAAGATTGGAAATAGATTGGACATAGTTTTAACACAAGAGCTCGCGATGTTGACTATGATAAAATAATGGAGGTACTTCGGGGTCTTGAACTTTCAAATGGGTATAAAAATTTTTACGTGGATTTTCTCCAACTTGCGACTCGACAGTTATGACAAAAGCTTATACTATGGAGAACGCCAAGTAATGTCGCACTTCTTTCAAAGTTACACGCTTGCGTGCGGATAATGTTTTCTACTTTCATTTAATTCACGTTTCACCCAATTTACAAACGGCGAATGTAAAACGGTGAATGAAGGGAAAAATAAAATTACCTCATGCAAATCGCATAATTCCCAAGGAAACGCTCGCGTCGCCTCCAGATGATGTGACGGTGAATGCGCCGAGAGAGACCGCCCTGCGCTTTGCAAATTTTAGATTCAACAATAAAAATTTAAATTTTAATTTGTGTTTTCTGATCTAGCCCGCGATCAATAGTTAAAGTGTGGATGCGCGTAAATATGGAAGAGATTAAAAACTGTTTGTTTAATTTTCTATTTACTGTGGACGTATATACGCGATTAATCCCAACGGCTGATGTAAATATCGCGTTATAGCAGCGCGTATATTGGTGAAAATAAAACCAGATTTTTTTGTGCTTGCTCGAATGATAGCTCGAAGAGAGAGAGAGAGAGAGCGAGAGAGCGAAAAAGAGAGAGAGAGGGGGGGAAAAAGAGGAAGGAATATCGATGTACGGTGTACGGTTTATTGCGCCCCATTACATTCTCGATCCATCGTCATTATACGTATCCGCGCGCGTTCACAATGCGCTTGGCATTTCTTTATCATTCGGCGCGGAATATCATGTAACGTTTAAGTTAACACTACGATGTCTTCGGCGAAAGTATATTCATTCGTATTCGGCCGAATAACGCCGTGGCTTTTGCCCCCGGGAGGAAAATCATTAATCATTTATCCCACCACGCTGCTCCACGTCTCCCGCTGGTATTCGTTTAGAAGTTTTAGGTGTTTACTTTATTTTGGACTTATTTTTGGACTTATTTTATCCGAACCCGCCCGTTTCTCCTGTTCTATCGGCGAGCTCGCCGTCATGTTAATGTTTAAACAAACGCACGTTCGAAACGTTTGAAATTCTATTAGCACGATTAACACGATGTGTATTCTTACTAGTAAGTAATAGCTCAATCGCGGAATGTGTATCTACCTGGTGAATGTCTATGACGGAGTATTTACTCTCTAATTTTCGAATCAGTCGAAGCAGCAATTTCGGAAGGGAATAAAACGCATGCGGAAAACGATTTTTCAATATATAAAATGTTGCGGAATGAGTACGGATAGTTCCTGAAACACCGACGGATACAACGTATCGCGCTGTATATTTTAGAAATTGATTATTAATTTAAAACGTTATAAATAAATTGAGGTATATTACTTCCATTTCGGTATCACGAATTACATTTTACCTTGTACGGGGATACGTTTAAAAATATCTCGTTTGCCATATGGTAACAAAAGGACACAAAAAACAGATATATTAATATAATTACCGACGTAATATATATTTTGTTTTCTGTGAACAAAGAGCATTTTTAATATCACAGTTTATATTTAATATTAGCTTGTTGTTGTACTTAGCATTTATTATTTATACTAAGTAAATTAGCATTTTATTAAAACATTTCATTCTATACGAGGTAACTCTGGCAAATACAAACTGGATATTTTCTCTCGTAATGCGCTGTTTTGTAATGTCGCTCCAAGATGCACGCGCGTGCAACGTAACGCGGCGCAGTCTGTCGCATGAGCTGCGGCTGTCAAGAGCAATGGTAATTACATCGCTGTGTCTCTTGTAAATTCACGTCGAGTTGATTCTACATAATAGCGCCGCGAATTTGTTCGCGATTCGTGCACCCCGTGTAATACGCGCGGCCGCAAGTGCGGTTCCGTTCTTTGACGTTCCCTTCCGCGCGTTTGTGTTTCAAGGAAATGCGATTTACGTTTCTCATTGATCAATTCGTTCACCGAAAAGGGACGTCGGGACTGTTAAACCGTTTCCGTCTCGTGGCCAAATTTGCTGACGTTTCACAGGGGATATTTTGATCTCTCCTCCGCATGTGAAAATATCTTAATTTTATTCATATAAATTCATAGATTCGGCGGACTTTGTTTCACGTCTATTTATATCTTCCATGTATGTATCTCTTTTTCTTTCTCCCACTTTCAACAGCCTTCTTTTGCAACCATGCAAATCAGAATTATTAATTCGATTGTGCGTTGTCAAAGTTTCTTTTTATGAAGACACATAAAAGAGAGCACACTTTATTTTCTGAAACATATACACACACATCCGGCATCTCCGGGCGTTGTTGGCGGCTTTCGTTGACGACGACAGCTAAGACGAAGTTTTCTGTTAAAGTCGTTTGCGAATCTTCCTCCTTTCGCGTCTTTGTTTTACAAACCCACCCCCGCCCCCTCCCCCCTCCCCCCTCCCCCGACTACCGGGCCACCTTCCCCACTCTCACTCGCCCTATTTTCATGCCACAAACTTCTCTTTGAAACGCCCCTTGCCCTGGCCGCTCGTTAACTTTGGATGTCCTCATTTACGCCTAATCGACTCGAGTCTCCCCGCCGGTGTTAAATTATCGAACTTAACGCACGAAGGGGCATGGAAGCGTCGTGGTGTTAACGCGCATAAAACATGTTCGTGAGGCAAGCACCGTCGAGAATTATTATCGCTCTTACCAAAATCGAGTCTCGCGAGGATCGAGATTTCCGAGGAGATACCGACCAAACGATGATAAATATATCGCCCGCGAATGTTCGCACGTACTATTTACTCCGCGCGAGATACATGTATATTATCCCGGCGCGGCGCCCCGGTATCGCGAGTGAATTATTTTAATGTCCATGTATTCTCGCGCTAGATCTAAAGTTGCGCGTCTCTAAATTACAGATTAAAACTAGAGATAATCCGCATCTCCGAGATATCGCGCGCTTCCGTTTTGTGTGTAACATAGAGCTTCGAATTAATTTCTCCAACTGTGAGCGTTGGCATGCATATCCGACTGTATGTGTATACGCGTACGGTCCGATATTTATTGCCAGCTACCCCTTTGCACGAGTTTATACGGCTCTCATCCTCCATTAAAATGTCATTCGCTTGATCGATTCGTTTACTCATCACATACGATCCGTCTTTGCGGGCAACTGTTAAACTATACGGGCCGCGCCACGGGAGAAACGAAATAGGTTTATCGATCAGAGAGCGTTGTACAAGTTAATCGCGCCCGTCCGGATTTTCGGGAGGAGAAGATATATATACACCATCTCTCGCCTCGCGAGACTCGCCCCGCGATTACGCTTTAAGAGACTCGTACACTGCATCCTTCTAAGCGTTGTTGCCTTTTGCTGGAAAGACGTGTGGCATGAGCACAACACGCAGAAGCTGGTAGCCGGAGACAACACGGTCGCTCGGGTATCGCCCCTAAAACCCGCGACTACCTACCACTTTCGGGTGCTTGCGGAAAATCATCTTGGAACATCAGCGCCAAGCGACATCCTTCATGTCAGTATCAAACATTGTCGAAAGACAAAGAATAGAAAAAAAGAAAACACACACACACACATACACACACAAAGCATGATCGAAAGAAAGAAAAGAAAAAAAACTTTCACATTATCACGAAGTCATTAACGTGTTGCGTTTAACGTCAGACGGATTGTGGTTGTTTTTTTTTTTCACGTGCGCCGTGGGGGCGATCTCTCGAAATTTTCGAAACAGGTGCAAACGGACGGCGAAGTGCCCGGTGGACCGCCCAGGCACGTCTCCGTGGAGCCCCTGGGCCCGCAGCAGCTCAAGATCACGTGGCAACCGCCGGATCGATCCCTGTGGAACGGCGAACTACTCGGATACACCATCGGCTACACCAATCTCGGGTATCGTTATCTGCTTACCGCTCTTGAACCACGGTAGTTTGCAGCATTTAGCGTCCATCACTTCGGCCCGAAGTTTCGAACAATGATCGCGATGATCCCCTCCGTTTGCGCCAAGATATCGCGTAACAGTAAATTTGTACGAACCGGGTCGTTTGAATCGCGAAGCGTTATATCTTCGACAGTACTGATAATATTGATTTTGCGAGAAAAATGCTTCGTGGGTAAAATTGAAGAATTGAGAGAGATGTTTTTCAGAAATAGAACGAACCTGTGTGTGATAATCTTAACGCGCGCTGTATTATTTTCGCGAGACAGACAGTTTTGGATATATTTTTCATTATAGATGAAACTGTCGAGATAAAAAAAAATACCGAGACATATATTACTAGCATAATTTAATTTGTATGAAAAATTAACTTAAACATATTCTGTGATAGACCTTTATTCTTTCTAAAATCAGATTTCGAGAATTGTTCTTTCTACTGAAATCAAATTTAAATATCTTTCACTGAAAAAAAGTATAATTGACGCGACAAAAATCGCTCGCGACGAAACTTCTTGAATTAGGCATGATAACGTTTGCGCGATGACATTTCATACCAGAATAACTGAATCATACTTCGACGGTCCGGTCGCGCGGCAGAAAGTACCATGAATTCTTAAAATACCTTTTTGTTCGCGCTCCGCAGTTATATTCCATTGAATTTCGAGATTGTTACTTCCTCCATTATACTCGAATCGGACAGCGGAACGTAATAAATGCGGACGATAAGGACGATTTCCGGTAAACTTTGGCGACAGCGACTTTCGTGCCAGGCATTTCCCGTTCTTAGACAGCACTGAACTTGCGAACAATAGGATCTATAAGAGAAGAAAAGATGGTTTATATATTTTAATGCGTAACTGTCTATTTGTTACGCCGTCAACTTCGTCACTTTGAAGTCGTTCAGCTATCATCTAGGGACAATAGACACTTGTCTTTATGTAATTTAACATTTATAAGAACGAATCTTCTCTCTTTCTCTTTTTAAAATGAAACTTTTCACAATCGATTATTTACAAATCAATTTAGTAGTCTTCTCTTCTTGACACACCCTTCGTGTTCGCGTGGTTGACACAGATTTCACCGCTGTCGATTGCCTTCGTTGCCCCTCCCGCGCGTTATCTTATTCGCTTCAACGGACCGTGATCTCGCGGCCTTTATTTCAGAGGAGATGATCAATTGATGAACACGACGCGAGTAGGAATCACAGGAAATGGGGACGGCTCGCACGATTATAGACTAACCGGTCTACGAAAATATACCCAATATAGCGTAGTAGTCAAGGCGTTCAATAGCAAAGGAGACGGCCCGGGATCCGATCCCGTGACGGCGCACACGTTCGAGGACGGTGAGTGGAAAAGCCCCTTCCTCCACATTTATCGAGCACTTCGAGCGGGATTTTGTGTTTTGTAAAAAATATCTGGACGCGCGCGCGTTAAACAAAGCAATTACGGCGCGCCGCTTTGAGGTAGTCTCTTTGCATTTTGATTACGAGCTAAATGTAATTGAGAATTGCAAATGATGAGATCAAGTTTCATATTACAAATTAATATCATAATTTAAAGTTTGTCATATATACCATATTGGTGTACAAACGTTCAATACGATATATAATGCATAGCGTTGAACAACGGCAATCATTTGCGTAACGATATTGGGTTATGGAAGTGAGCTTTTACGCGACCCAAACGGTAAATTGTTACACAAAATTCGACACTGACAATAATAATTCTTCGTCAAATTTTTTCGTTTTACCGTGTGACTATGTAAATTCTGCCAGACTGCATTTCATTTTTGTCTAAATCACAGTTTTTGCAATTGAGATTCTTTTATGCTTTTATAATTTCACATCTTCCCTGCAACTTTGGTGTTGCATATTGCGTTTTAAATATTCGGTTACTCACAAAATTGATCAAATGGTTTTAAATCTTTCATACAAAACTAACAAAAGAAATAAATAGACGTAAAAAAAATTTCATAATTATTCTTGAATTAACTATGTCATCATATTAATTAATTGAACTAACGGCTTTATATATATTGTGAAAAGAAAACAAATAATGTTTCTGGAATAATAACCTTTGAACAAATCTCTTGTAACTTTCGAGACACTTGGTCAATTTCATGAGTCACTGCGAGTTTGATACGAGTCTGGGTGTGTGTGCGTGTGTGTGGTGTAAGCTGTATACCAATAACATAAACTCTCGAAACCACATTTTTCGACACGTCAAAGGAAAGCAATGCGCTACAGCGATTTACGGTACCGATTTGACATAGTTCCAAGTGCGCCACCGCAGAATGTAGCTTGCGCCGCACTGAATGGTCAGAACATCCAGGTGACCTGGAAACCGCCGCCTTCCGACAAAGTTCACGGGGTCGTGCTGGGGTACAAGCTGCTGTACGAGGCCGCGTCGGACTCGCAGACCAGCAGGGAGACGAAAGTCAGTCATGCCCTCAGCACGGTCCTGCATACCCTCAGCCCGTACACCAACTACACGGTACAGGTGCTCGCATACACCAGACCCGGGGACGGCGTCGCGAGCAGTCCCGTGTCTTGCACCACCGGCGAAACTGGTAAACAGCGACCAGCGTGCAGATTACCCTTTAATACTGGTTATTCGATCCGCAGCTTATTTTCGACGCGTTTATTTAAAAAAACATATTTATATATAAAACTCGGGAACAGGCACCTAATTTTTTTTGCATAAATGGTGGACGGAACCTGTGGTGATTTTTACACCCCAATTAAGTTATTGTTATTAATTATATATATTTTTATTGTTTGATAATTCATTAGTATTTGAGGAAAATATGTATATAGATTTACTCCACATTTTCTGAAAAAAGTAAGGAGAAACAAAAAAATATCTAAAAACGAAAAGAACGTTAAAATTACTAGGAGCTTTATTTTTTCAATACTGAGGTGTAAATTTCCTTCGGGCGCCCGGGTTAGAAAATAAAATTTCCCCAAATTATTCAAATAGAGAAGAGTTCCAAACTTAAGTGGAATAAAAACAAATCCATAATTTGTGAGAGATCTAAAAATCGTAGAATTAGAGTCTGGCCACAAATAGCGATTTTGTCAAAATGTTCTCTATCTACATTATCTACAATATCGCTATTATTCGCTATCTATCTATTGCTGCAATACTTTGTGACACTTTTACAGCGTAGACTGTCATAAACATGCATCATAAGAGACTAGGTTATAAAGAGAAGGAGGTAGCGAATGTATATCCTTCACTCTCGCAAGATTTCGACAAAATCGCTTTATGGCCAGACTCTAATTTGAGGGTCTCCAGTGAGAGATTCGTTTAAATTCAACTTCGTGTCTAATGCAAATGTTACGCGATACATATTCTATCCGGTAAACTCGGTCCATTTCCCTGAACCTTCTCTCCGCAAAGTCATCGGCGACGTTCAAAGATTGACAACTCTGCCGACAGTTCCCGACGCCCCGGAACGCGTGAAGGCGGTGATCAGCGGCGAGAACGCCGTCGTGATATCCTGGCTGCCGCCGCGACGGCCGAACGGCCAGCTCATCCAGTACACCGTCTACATCCGCGTGTTAGAAAAGGGCCAGGAAGTGAAGATCACCAAGAGTACCCTGCCCGCGCAGAATCTACATCACGAGGTGACCGGCCTGAAGCCGCACGAGACCTACGAGGCGTGGGTCACGGCCTCGACTAAGGTCGGCCAGGGCTCCAGCACGCCGGTCATCAAACTTCAGCCCAGCAGCACCGGTAAGACGTTCTCTCTTCAAGGGATTCGGGATTATTGAAAAATTCCTCGCCTCCGCGCCGTAAAATTCTATACCGTATCGGATGCCTCCGCGAGCGCTCCGATATAACTTTTCATTTTCGTCGAGTTCCGCGGAAACTGTACAACTGATGCTGAAACGCGCATACCCACGGCGGGAATACAGATTCGCGGAACCCCGATGGTCCATATTCCATAAAGGGCGAAACTGCTCTTTGACGTTGAAGCAGCACGCTCCGGATCGATATAACGAACGTAAGCGCGGTGTTCGCGACTTTTCGATAATACCCACATTTGCGGGAGATATTACGGAGCGTAAATGGCACGTACGGAAACTCGTAACGGGAGAGTCCTTTAATTAGTTCCAGCTGCAATAATATCGTACGGTGTGCCGATCGTGGTGCCGTGGCGAGTGGACGTTAATATGGCTTGCCTCGTTGTCGGCGATCCCCGGCCGACCGTCGAGTGGCGACGTGCCGACATGAAGCTGCACCAAAAGTAAGTAAACTGCAAACGGAAACGCGTGGTAGCTCAAACCGTACGATATAAGACGTAACATTTCACGGGGCGAGTTTTTCCAGATCCGACGTGGGCCCGGACAACACCTTAACTCTGAGAAACGTGCAGAGAAGTCACGAGGACAATTATTCGTGTCACGCGAAGAATTCGCTCGGCACGGATGAAATTACGTACACGCTGCATATCCAGGGTAGGTCGCGTAAGCGGAATCATTAAGACCGCCCGGCGCCGCTAATCACGCCTCTCGCGATAAGCGCATGCATTGTGCGTACGCGAAATTTTAATCCGTCTCCGCGGAAGTAGATAACGCCCCTTCGCCTCGCTAGGATAATACAATTTAAAGTTACGTTCTCAAATCTTTCTGATAGAAAGGCGTTATATCACAAACTTTCCAACGGATGCAGCCGGAGTTTTAGAAGTGGTGTATCTAACTTAACAAATTTCAGAATTGCAATTCCGATTAAATGTATTAAGCAATCACGATTGAAGGTTCTCTCCGAGGCTCAGGCTGCATTTCCGCACAGCCTCGCGAGAGCGAGTCTTACACTTCGAGGATAACTCCTATACGAATTCTTATTCATGCGCGAGAGAACGAGAGAGCGAGTGGCGCATCTCGGCGCTCTCGGGGAGAGCGAATGTCGGGCGGTGTGTGTTTCGCCGTCTCTCGAGCGGCGCACGAGAGAGCGCCAAGTTCTAATTGGTAAACTTTCGTACGTAGTGCCGCCGACGTCGCCGACTCTGCTGGCGACCGGCACGACGACCGACGCGATCCAGCTACAATGGAAGCAGGGCGACAACGGTGGCGCGCCTATTAAGGGATTTCTCCTGGCTTATCGTCGGGAATTCGCCGAATGGGAGGAGGTGATGCTGGACCGGCGCGAGAGCACGCATCTCCTCGAGGGCTTGCAATGCGGCACGCGGTACCAGTTCACCCTGGCGGCTTTCAACCGGATCGGCAGCGGCAGCGCGAGCGAGATACAGCTGGCGAAGACCAACGGCTCGAAGCCGGTCCCGCCGCCCAAGCATCACTTCGTCAAGCCGAATCAGACGTTCGTTATTCTGGAATTGGCGGCCTGGCAGGACGGCGGCTGCCCGTTGACCTACTTCGTCGTGGAATATAGGAGGCTGCCCGGGGATTGGCTGCTCGGTAAGAACCTACAACTCTTATACGAAAAGTTCAAGTCACGAAGCGAAGAAGTGAGACCCGATAAACTCTCCAGGAGCGCGATGTTGATCGCGCCGAATTAATTCGAAAATCAATATCCGGGAAGTCTCGCGAGAAATGCCGACCGTATTTATTTCCTATTACGCGCGCGTGTATCAATATCAATGTATAAATCAATCGCAGAATCATTCGCGTAATATAACGTCAATTATTTTGAATTAATTTGGAAATATTGACGTTCTAGAAAATATTTCAAAAATTCACTCGTGGATCGCTCTAAGTGCCTATCAATTATCAATATTCTCGCATATGCCGATAATTAATCAGATTTGACCGGCGCGTGTTGCAGTGTCCAATAACGTGCCGCCGCAGTCGAAATTCCCAATCGTCGATCTGGAGAGCGGCACCAGCTACGAGCTCCGCGTGACGGCTTACAACAACGCCGGTTCCACCCAGGCTGAGTACCTGTTCAGCACGCTGTCACCGAACGGAAACAACCGTTTGCACGAGGATCATCCGCAGGAGAGCGAGACCACTCCGCTCTACCTCGACGCCCACGTTTTGGCGCCCAGCGTCATCTCCGTTCTCGCTGTCATGCTCGCGATCGCCGGAGTCTGCTTTTGCCTCAAGACACGTGAGTGACCGAGCCTGGTATACTCGAAGCCCGCTCTATCAATTTCGCGTCGCAAACGCCTCGAGCAGCGTGCGAACACACACACAGACTCCCGGCTTTGCGGGGATACGGTTGTTTCCAACGTTGTAAAACAAAATCTGTCAGATGCCGTTTATTCTCGCGAATTCCACTTGGTACACGTTGTAACGGTTCCGCCGCGAATTGGGAACAGGAGGGAGGGAGGGAAGGAGGTGGGGGACAGTCTCTCTCTGCGGATGTTTTATTTTTTTCGTCAACTATACCGTCGATATCAGGTACAATGTCAACAACAGCGCGGTCCGCGATATCCACCGCGAGCGTTTGGTTTAATTAAAAACTTTATAAACGAATTACATATAGCCGGGTCGTCGTTCCAGATAGAGACGTCGGTTACTGAAACGAGAACATCTCCCCGTGCATAAATCATTCAAGAAATACTGGTACGCTCGCTCGTACCTTATTCGAGTTACCACCAGTTTCTTGATATCATCTTCAACACGCTACGTGAGCGCCTTTATTTTAAACCGCGGGAGGATACGCTCAATCTACACGACGATGGAATTTTATATTTTTCTCGTACGTGCGTGCGGTAACTGTACTTGCTCTTTTAACTTTTTTACTTTCTTACACATCTCAGAAGTGAGTTCTTTTCGCGTCGATAGATTTTTATTCGACGAACATTGAGTATTATAGTTCTTTTTTTTTATATCGTATCACGCATATTACACATAATCTGGGTCACGTTATAATTGTTGATCATCGAGTGTCTGCATGGCAATCGAACGAACTCGAGTGCGGTCGTTTCTAGATCCGGACGGATCCGGCGGGGCGAACGATCCGAACTCGCAAACGCAGGCGGCCCTGGACAACAAGCACAACATGGAACAGAGGGAACAATACTACGCCACCGTGAGGAAACCGGGACAGCAATCGCCCTGCCGCGAGGTGAGCGCCCTGGAACGAATACCCGAGTATTCGGAAGACATTTATCCGTATGCCACCTTCAATCTGCCCGAGCAGGAAAATCTGTCGGCGAACCCTATGAGACAGGCGTTCTTCTACGAACGCAGCGAGACGATGCTGCAGGGCGCTCAAGTACGTTTTATTTTCTCACACAACCGACGGTTTACGGCGCCGGCCACTTACGATCCATCTTACGATTCTTTTGACATATCGCTCCCTCTCCCCCGTAAATCGTGACGTCCGAGCTGATAAAAGATTTCTGAAACTTACGACGTCCAGATGTCTACCTCGGATAAAGTCACCGCGATCAAAAGTAATCTCGTTAGCGAAGTTATAATGCAATGGGAGTAATTACTTTCTTTGCATTAATACTTAAAGGGACCATAAATTGTTTCGCATTGCGTGGAGAATGTTAAATTCGAATCGCCGACGTTATTTAATAAGTATTACGCGGTCGAATTTAATTACAGTGCGAAATATTTATGCGAAAAGCAATATGAAGCAAAAATCGTTAAAAAGTATTAACGGTGCCGCAAAGGAACAAATTTCTTCAATAACAAATTAATGAAAGATATTCTATAAGGCGTATCGGTAAAAACCACTTTTTTAAATTAAAACTATTTATCTTCCGTTTGTTAATATTTTGCGATCGAATACGAGTAATGCTTACTCCGACTCATGTTTCACGAAAGAATATTTTCCAAATAACGTTCGCAAGAGAGTCGCGTGTCGAAAACATTTCTCGTGTGTCTCTCGCAAAAAAAAAATCCCATACAGCGAATCGATTGCAGTGCGATGTGGACCAGTACACGAAAGTACGTGGTCGGGCGCGGCGCAAATCAAAATCGTTCAAATCCGAGTCGGAGGAGTACGACACGCTCGGCTCGGACAGCGACACGGAGGTCGGCACCAGCAGTCGCACCGAGTCGTCGAATCATCTGGACGATTCCGGGCCGACGTCGATAATGGCCCGCTCGCCTGGGCCGAACTCCGCGAATCAGCGGGAGCAGCGGCTCGCCCTGGTGCAGCGACCGGTTCATCATAGTAAGTTAGTATTCAGTTTTCTGTGTCCGGGCCGCGTGTAATAACGCAGCCTATCACGTAAATCAACCGCGCAACCACTAATCCCACTTCTCGCGCCAACGTCTCGCGTGCGTTTTTCCAGATGTGCTGTACCACACGCACGAATCAAGTACATCAACCGAGCCGTCACCAATTTCTGAGAGAAAGACTTTCCCGAGGCTCGAAAAGCAACGGTAAGATCGTCGAGCTGTTCGAGCCAGATTACAGACACTATAGTCGTTATTATTACCGCATTATCGCAAAAGAGAGGAAAATATACGTTAGAAAGATTAGACACGTTTCTCTTTTAAATTACATATTGCTATGATAATAAAGCTTTTCGATATATTTATACATTATCATCTCTGTATTATCAGTTACATTAATTTATTTGCATAAACAATTTGATACGACTTGTTCGAGTAAGTTTTTGCAAAAAGCTTTCTTAAGCAGCAATCGACATTTTCGCAGGAGCCGCGGCGCGATCGACGTCGCGATCGACGGTCGCATCCCCGGTATACTGCGACCGGTGCTGAAGCTATCGGAGTCCGGAGTGCATTCGTGCTCGCGAGGAGCGTCGCCGAGTCGTCCGGTGCGTCCTGGTTCCTACGACAGACTGGAGAAGGAGCCGCCGAGCATCAGGAAGTCCGTCGAGTCGCTCTGCCTCCTGGAGGAGCCGGCGGGCACGTTCAGAATGATGCGGAGGGACGACGATTGGGGCAGCGAGCTGTCTACGTTGGAATTGAAGCCACCGAGCGGCTTCACCGACGTTCACGAGACCAGTGAGGCCGAGTGCGACATCGACATGAAGCTCAAGTTGCACAGGAAACGACCGAGCGGCCTCCACTCGAACAGCTCGCTCTCCAAATCGCCCAAGGATTTCACTATCACCGTTTAAGTGTTTTAATCAAATATCGAAACCAAAATGGAATTTAAAAGAAGCCAAAAAAAAAAGCGAAAGATTTAAATAAGCGAAGTATTGCCAAAGCATGAGTGTTATTAAGTCGAAGTAAGTTACGATTTTTCTCGCCATTGAGATACACGCGATCGCCAACATCGCTCTACGGATCTAGATCTCTGGATGTTCGTCTTTTGGAGTGACTACTCTGTCAAAGACTTCGTTTACAAATAAAGACTTATTTTTGTAAAAAAAAAAAGTGGAGAGAATGGCTGCACCTTCGTCCCGGAATCCTCTGTACACTTATTAACAATACTTACTTGCAAATCTTGCATCGATATATTTAGCTCCAGTCCAATCAAGTAGCAAATAATCGTCGTTGATCTTCACTAACATTTCGTTACCGCAGGTATGTTTTTCTAAAAGTTGTGATTGATTATAACAACAAAAAACCGTGTGCAGGTTTAAATAAAAAATTTGTTACAGATAATTGTAGTCAATTGACTACAATAAATACCGCTTCAAGTGAAAAGAGTACTTCCTTTATGCAATATGCGAAAATAAAAAAGATGCATTTTTCTTGCTTTCACAATAATACTTCTCACGTATTCTATATTCCATCATCAGATAAAAAAAATTATATTACTTCATATTACTCAATTATTTATGAATTGGGAAATCATCATATGTTCTGCGCAAAGTGAGATTAATTTTCATGAAAATATTTCCATGTTATTTGCAATCGCTAAATAATTTACCAATTTTCGTGTAATTAACAGAAAGCGATTTCCTATTAAATTCACGGACTGTCAATGAATAATTTACTTCGATATATTAAATCTAATAGAAAAGAAGCGTTCGCATGGTTAATTATTAAGAGATCGAATGACGACAATAGAATAGGATTTAATAAGGAGTGTGTCGCAGTGAATTTAGTTATTGCGTTTGCGATAGCTTAATTAATTGCCATCAGATCACATCTTAGGAAGCGACTGCATCCGGACTGGGGCGCTTACGGAAGGCCTATTGGTGATTCGCTGGTGAGTGAAACTTGGCTGATTTGACCAGTTGGAAATTTCTCGCAAACTATTTATTAGACGTATATGTTCTTAAGCACGGACAATTCTTCTCGAATGAAGCGTACAGTTAAAAAAACGAGTAATACTATCGCACATAATGACTGATATCGCAATCATTATATCCGTTTAAACCTCTCTAAAATTTCTCTGTCTTTTGTTTCTTCTTCTTCACGTTTTCGTTGAGATACGTACTGTATGTCGAGTAATAAAGCTTGATGGAAACCGCATTAGACCAGCATTCGTGTCCCTCGCGACTCATTGACGCGTGCCGCTCACAATGATTTATAATTAACGATGAGAGCCGCGCGTCGCGACAAGGATGACTCGCGTGACGTCGTAGGAACAGAGAAACCGAGCTTTTTGATTTTTTTTTTTTTTAATTATATTCGTGCTTCGCGTTTTTAACACGTCACGCGACTCGTCTCCTCTCTCTCGGCGCGAATGATCTCTTTTATTCCCGAGCGACGCGTCGCGACGGTCAGAGAGAATCGATTTGTTAAAAATTCTATCGAAGGCAGTGCGGTCGCTATGCTCGGAGATTAACTCTTTCGCTACTGGTATGATCGCGCCGGATCCTTGACAGAAATGCATCACTGGCTGCAGCCGCCTATTCAGAACTGACACGCGCATTATTTTCCTGCACTTTTAGGAGATAATAATATAGTCATCTTCTCACATTTTTTATGTACAAAACAAAAATACATTGCGAATTTAATTATTATAAAGTGATATCTGCATTAGCCTCGCGCACACTTTCAGAATATAATAATACTTATAATTCTTCCCGCTTATTTATACAGACAGACACATCGATTAATAATTGCTCGATTTATCTCGCGACTCCTCGAATGCTATATTTGATTTCTCTAAATCGCTAATTTGACAACTTTTCTACATTTCCAGGGTAGAAAGAAATTCTTCCATTGTCGAATCTCAATTTTCGTTCTAAGTCGAATACGTTGAAATAAAGGTATTCAGAATGCACTATTAAAACTTCGTTCTTAGATGCCATAGCGAAAGAGTTAAGGAAAAGAGGTAAGAGAAAGGAAGGAATGTTCTCAATATATAGGTACTCGTTTGGCAGTCTTGACTGTCGTTTTTACGTATCGATTTCTCGTAATCATTCTCGTCGTATTCGTCGGATATTAATTGGGCATGGCGCGGATTCATGATACCCGTTGTCTCTCGGGACCCTCCTCTAAAACTTTCTACCGCTTTCTACAATTTTCCGTACATCAGCCGACCTCGGTGTACCCAGCGGTGTCGATGATAGATTGTTAATGCACGTTAATCATGATTATACGTATAAACAGCTTCCTCCTCTTTTTTTTTACAGTTACCGTAGGCCGTAGTGCATACGTTTAGATTGGAGGGGAGAGAGAGAGTCCGCTCCCCTCCGCCGTGTGCTTTCTGCGAGACGATTCATTACACGAATGATAATTATAAAGTTATAAATTGTGGCAACTTATGTACGAAACAATCGAACGTGCTTGAGTGTGTTTTTTCACGGTTGTCTATTGAAGGTTTCGATAGGCATTCAACATATACATCCTCTGTTAAAACACATTCATTTCTATATATCCATTTATATATATATATATAAATTATTTATATACATATATATTGCTGGATATACGTATTTTATATGTATCAGTAACAGACTTCTCTGAACGACTGCGCGCGCCAACGAGATCCGCGCAATCCCGAACCGCCCTTCCCGAACTCGCTTCCGTGTTTTTCACTTAATAAAATACACATATGCACATACGTACGTATATATATCACATAAAATCAACTCGGAACGAGACCGTTCGCTTTTCTTCCACGTGTGGTCCGCGCGAATACTAACAGTTACAATCGCAGTCTTTGTTATACCGAGAGTGTAAAAAGGAATCCGATGGAACGCACTGGAGCTCGATCCAACTCCTTTACGTCCACCTTGTCGTGCGACACTCGAAATTATCCGCGATTAATATCGGCGAACCATTCTCTCTCTCTCTCTTTCTCTCGCAGAGGAGCTCGTTAAATGGGATTAACAAGAAGGAAAATGATTGCCCCCCCGCCTACCCTCCCGTCAGCAAATAACCATTTTATAGCTATCCGGCGGACGAACGACCAGGAAAACGCAGTTCAATCGTCGTCTTTCTCGTCTCGATCGTGGCGTAGCGGACGACGAAAGGCAGGAAAAGAGATAGAAATGAAATCAAGAGCCAAAGGGGAGCTAGATGCGAACTAACGGTGTGAAAACGAACGAGACAATGTGTGTGTGCGTCATCTTACAAATATTATGTTGACTAGAGTCTACATTATCTATACACACCACCTATTTTATCATCGAATTATACGCGGGCGGCCGCGCACGACCCCCTCCTCCCCCCTGGATCGCCCCTCCCCCCGTCTTATCTCACGGCCACTCATACCTCATTAGACGTCTATTTTGCGTTTATCCATGTAGGTACGTACACATATAATCGTGTAATATCGTAAAATACAATATAGATCGCGTATGTGCACGTGCGCGACGAGGTATCGCTCGCTGTACAAGTCGCCCGCGGGATGTACGAGCATTGTTTCAACCTCCTCTCTCCTTTCTCTATGGCATTGTCCCCCCGTCTCGTTGAATCCGATTTAAAGACGGAGCGATTCCTCGTCCGCCACGCCCGCACAATCATCTTATACTCTCCGATCGCCATTCACATCATAAATATATATATACATATATATGTATATAGATATATATATATATAAATTTTTTTCTTCTCGATTATTAGCGCGACGAGTTCGTGTTCGTGTGAGCTGTCCGTCACTCAGGTGTGCATCTACCATTTCGGCGTAATTTCTCGCGTACATTCACATGTGTGTGTATGTGTGTCTGAGTGTGGGTATGTGTACAATAATATCGCTTCTCGTTCCTTTCTTTCTTTCGGTGACTTAAGTTATTACGGCATTAATTAAAAGACACGGTTTTTACATACATAGTAATCTCTAGTTAGACGATAAGTCAATAGGTGTTCCGTTTCGTACGAATTGGCGATCAATCGAGACTTGACCGGGCTTCCAATGGAAAATCCCTTATCTCGAAGATCGATCCGCTCGGTTTGTTCCGGAAATGCGCTTGCGTTTATTCGCGCTCGCAAGCTCTCTTCACGTAACTCAGGCGCTACCTCGAGCTTCTTGAAAAAGTAACTCTCGTGCGAGAGGAACAGCGATGCCCGATACTCCGTTCCTTCCGCCGAAGATCTCTGGTTTTTTTTGTTGTTGTTGTTTTACCCTTTCGCGACCCCCCACGATCGTCGCGAAGCGAAACGCGCGACTCGGGAATCGAGTTTTCGTTCTGATTTCCCCGTATGACAATCAGTCTTGTGCCCGCGAAGGCGTTCCTAATCATGACGCAACTTGACGTATCGACGATAAAGCGATTTTCTCTCTAACGAGCACTTTCGCATAGCTAATCACAGCGAGCTGATCAAAAGAACGTATAGAGTCTCTTTTCTTTTCACGCGTATTTTCGTTCGGCAAATTGTTACTCGTTGCCTCTGCTCTCTCCCTTTCGTCCAGCGGTTCTACATCCGGTTCTACGTCCGAAGGGTGGCGATTAAGGCGGATGATTATGTTCTGGTTTTCTGGCGAATTTTATACATCGCATTCGCGTATGACGAGATGAACCTGGCGGAATATTATCTGCCGCGATTCGCGAGGAACTGTTCTTTCCTTTTTTTTTCTCTCTATTCCGTTTGCCTTCTTTCTCCGTGACGCGAAAATCCGTTCGAGTCGACTGATAACGTTATCGATTACCACGGAAGAGCCGTCGTTCGGTAGTATTGACTGATGCTTTTGTCGCAATTATTATTAGAACGGTGTTGGTACACTTAATTATAAATACAGTTTCGGCAAGTTGAAACGAACCGGTTTTGAGTCTCCTGCACGTAATTGCTCATTGTTAACTTAAATGAATAGTCTTTCAAGAAAGTAGAGACTAATTTGTACTGTACGAGTTAGGCCAAGCGACGGAACGTACACTTCGCAAGTAATCTGACTGCGCTTTTTCTCGATGCACGGTGACGAATAATCGATAAGACACATTTGTAAATCAGTACGGTTGCGCGATGAGTATCTTTACATGCAACGAAAGTGACCTTTGCATAATTCGTCGATTCTCGATTTTTCTTCGTCGTAAGCCTCACGTGTCTTCCACTTCGGCGTAAAGGAGAAGGGTCCATAAGGCCCATAAGATCGATTCTTGGCCCACCCCCTCTGAATTTTATTCTAAAATATCAGAAACGTTTTATTTTTGTAAGAAATATTGAAATCAGGTGAGTCTTTAGTCTAAATAGACGCCTGTTTATTCTGTAACTTTAATTAATCCCATTTCTACCATCAACGCTTCTACACCTACATATCTTTTCTTTACATTTGGGTGTGTAAAATAACAATTAAATATTTCGTAATCTTTAGTATCAACATTCTTGTAGCACAGTTTTTCTAAAATATATTGTATATTTATCTTTTAGTTACTGTAGATATTTATTTGATGATAATGTGTGTTATATAAAATGATTACAAGAAACTATAGCTTACATACTGTAAAATGTCTTCGACTTTTTCTCTACCTGAAACACATATACACACTAGACAAATGTAAGGAAATGATATGTAGGTGACATAGAAGCGTTGATGGTAAAACGGGATTAAATAGTATTACAGGATAAACAGGCGTCAAAATACGTCCATTTAAAGGCTAAAATCACTTAATTTCAATAGTTCTTACAAAAATAAAACGTTTCTAATATTTTAGAAGAAAATTCAGAGGGAAACCGGTTCTCCTCCTTTAATGATTAACGAAATAAATACTATCTTGCGCAGATACGCATACGCAGTTCGTATAATTTAATAAATTGAGGATTTAGAGTGTCGTTGCTTTTGCTTTGTTTCGCGATTCTCGGGGTACCAAGACACAAGCAACGGTAAACTAAAATATCGCGATTGTCATCATCGTAAAAGAGTTACATTACTTTATATTTTTAATTAAAAAGAAAGCGTAACCCATAGCACGAGTCGACGCGTTTTTTTTTTTTTCACATTTTCTGGTGTCTACTAACGAATAATTCCATCAGAAAATTTCGGCCTTTGCGTTATTTTATGCAAACGTCACCTATAAAAAAAAATCTTCGTTATTTCCCATAGAGAGATCGCACCTTACAAGTAACGTTAGCGCGTTAGCCGTTATCAAAAGCCGTATAGTTTTCTACGAAGTTGTGCGTTCGATTCGTTTACGGGTGTTCCGCGAACGTGAAGCGAATACACGTGGTACGATATTTGCTACACACACGTAGTTTTGATTTGAGTATCGCGTATCGAGCGGCCTACGCGCGAAATCACTCGTCCAAACTTAATTTTAACGATTGATTGACGATCGACGATCACGGCGGCACGACGGATCGCCGATACCGGTGTATCGTCGCTATAAATGGCAGTAGCAGGCACGATAAGCCGTGCATTGTCGCGGCCAACACTGGGCTGGGACCACAAATCGAAGTGGATGAAAAACGAGAGAGAGGGCAGACGCTTATAAATGAATTTCGTTATCACGCGCGGCAATCGTGATTCGTATATATGTGCGAAGCATTTCGCCCGACGATGCACCCTCACGCATACATATGTATACAATAAACTAAAAACACGTAGAATAATTGGATACACGTGTATATGTATATGATATATTATATATGTACACACCCATCCGCGGAAATATCGTTTCTAACAATTAGGCTATCGTAATGATTCTTTGGCAACTCGGAGCTGTCGGATTTTCGACGTGCATATATGTATATATGTATATACACGCGCGCACACGCTCGCACATACGCACAGACACACAAATTTCCTACACATATACATATGTATACATATATAATATTTTATGTAGCGTGTATGTGTGTGTGTGTACCTAGGTATTATGTGAGCGCGAGCGCGCGCGCACGTGTGTGTTGTATGTATTAATAATTATATGCAATGTATGTACACGAAATAAGATTGAACAACGTAAACTTACGCGACGGACAAGATAAGCATCGCCCATCCGGCGTGCATCGGCGGCAACTTTGTCTCTTTGTGTTTGGCACTGTCCGCTCACGCGCCGGAAAACCGGGTTTCCTTACCGAAATTCCTTTTCTCTCACGTTCTTTTCTTTCGGTTTCTGTTCTCTTAACATTCACGTTAACTCTATGTACACTAAGAAATCCGCTCGAAGATCCTCCAGCTCTCCCATGGATGCGAATTATCACCTTCTCTGCGACGCGAGGATCAGTCTGCACGCAGGAAAAGCAGATTTTTTTTTCTTACAATATCGTATCTCGTCGAGAATTCGGCGTACGGGCATGCACTTACCAGGTCGTGATTAAATTTCCGGCGTTCGGGAGTCTCGATTACAGCGGGGCCGACTTTCGCGAGGGTGCGCTGCAACCGAAGATAGGCCGGCATCATTGCGGCATCATCTTACAGCTGGGCTCCAGACTGTCGGAGGGTACGCGCATGCTGCCATTTGTGATATAACCGTTAGCATCGACCATTACGGAGACGCCGGATGGCGGATGATTATGATAGCTAATGTTTCTCTGCGACACCACCATGCTTTTCTCCGATGGTACTACATGATCGTTGCTGCCGCCGTGGGAGGAGAGGCAGGGTTCGCTCCCACGGCTGCTGGATGACTCGATCGGGTGGTCCACGCGTATGGGAATGGTATAGTCGGACAGGTATTCGGAACTGACTTCTACGGTCGCGTATTCACGAATGACGGATGACTTGGATGGATAATCTATTGGCATGTGTTGAATCGACGAGGCCGACCTGATCTCGTTCGGATCGCTCAGCGTAGCGACGTGTCCATTCGCCATGGCGTACAGATCGGGATCCGCGCGGCCTTTCGTCGATAGCATGGACTCCAGACACTGGTACAGCAAAACGTAATCCTCCTGCGAATGATAAATAAATAAATTTTCCCATCTAATCGCGAATGCGGCTAAAATTACGCGAAAAGAAATTCTAACTTAAGGCTCACCTTTGAGCGGAAAACGCCAGGTCGCTTCATGTAAAGCAACTTGGCGAACATGTAAATGTCGGCGCTTTGCTCAAATTCCAATTGTTTGTTTAACGTAGTCAGCAGAACAAAGAGTGCAGCCTCGACTCCGCCATACCTAAAGTGAGTAACAATATAAGATGTATTCGCTTAAAATGATTGATCGCGGAATTATCGCGAGTTTGCAAGAATGAAATTTTCTGCACACCTATCCATTACGACGATAGGGCCATTCTGATAGTCCCGATGAAAATCTTGAATGATGCTGACGAAAGTCTTCGGATTGTTGTTGTGCGGCCACAGACCGTTCTGATTTGACGGCGCTTGAACGATCCTGGCGCTGAGCTCGTAATCATCTTGCAACGACCGAACCGCGACTTCCAGCAAGATTGTCCCATTCACAGTTTCCTTCGTTCCGCAGAGTCGCACTCGGAATGTCTCGGACTCGAGATCCTTTCCTTCGATGGGCCAAAATTCCGGGTATTCCTGTCGGACGGCATTCTTTATTATTAGAAGGCCACGTTTCTTTTGTTCCTTCACACGATTATCTTAATCTTCAAGACATACCTCGTCGCACTGAGTTAACATGACGATAGTCTGCGCATTGTGGTCCCACATCATTTGCCAGAATTCCATTATGGTGCTCTCCATCGGATGCTGCGTTATGATAAACTCGCGGTTGCGTTGAAAGCCTAGAAATACCATGTTTTTACTGTCGTTCGCAACGAGGAATTTAGACTGCGCCTCGACACGAAGAGAGGCATGATTGATATACCTACCTGAAACCCATGTCGCGTTTATGTAGTCGCTTCCGTCGACGCCTGGTTTCGGCGTTAGATGCACGCGCGCGTTCTCGATAGGGACAATGTCCATATTACGATTCTTGTGGACGTTGCATGCTTTGGTGGCGGACACGAGATTGAAGTCCTTGGGTTTCCACGACGTCACCAACTAGAGAGAAATAATACATAATTAAATTAAATAATTTAACTTTCGAACATTGGTCAAATCCAAGGATAAATCAGTTACCTTATATTGAGCTTCAATGTTGTTCCATGCGTCAGTCTTGGTATTCGATGGGCACAGCATGTCTTGAATGTGCTTTATTAAGTTATTGGCGTCAATATTGGTCTCGCCGCTCTCGATCGCCTCCTGCAGAGCATCGTGGATAAAGATGTACTGCTCTTCCGTCTGAACCAGAAAGTTTCTCTGAGTGCGGATGTGTTTGAGAAAACCGTATACGTTGATCTCGCCCTTTGCTTTAGCTTGCTTCAGCATGGCGTCAATTACGATGTACGTTCCGGTACGCCCGACGCCGGCGCTGAAACAAAAAAAAATATTTCGAATAGAGAGAGAGAGCGATCGTTAAAGGTCGCTAGAAATACTAAAAAAAAGAAGCATACAATGTCGAATTGGAAATCTCTGTTAATTAAAAATTGTCAAAATGGGATTTTCACCTGCAATGTACTACAATAGGTCCAGCCTCGGGCGGATTAGCGTTGGACGATTTGCGGATGAAGCTCAGAACGGGTAAAGGATGATCGGGCACGCCGTGATCAGGCCAACTGGTGTAGTGATATTGCCATATAGTGCGCTCGCCCATATTGGTCCCATTTTTCTTCTTCTTGATCTGCTTAAAAATCCGAAATGGTTTCTCGTTGGGAGGATTATTCGATTATTGGCTTTTGATTTTATCATGATGCTTTTTCACGTCCTCTCTGAAGAACGATTTAAGCGCACATACACACACACACACATACACACACACTTTATTTCTAAATATATACCTTTAAATGTCGAATTTGGAGAGTGCGGATGGTGTACGTGGCCATAATGTCCTCCTTCACTAAAGTTACTTGAATGTAACCGTACGTTTCGGTCCCTTCTTTGGGCCAATACATATCACATTTCCTCTACAAGTAACAATAATAATCCATAAATAACAATAACTTAATACATCAGATTCCTTCACTAATTACAGTGAGGCAAGCATTTGCGCATATGAATAATTTATCTTTGTTCCTACTCATGAGTCTTTCACCATTTTATTATGTAACTTTTGGTTAACGTTGTAAAAGAAATATCAATATTGACTTCGTAATTGTATTCACCGTGTCATTATGTAACTATTGATTAATGTTATAAAAAAGTATTGATATCAACTTTGTACTTACACGACCGCGCTCGACCAGATTGGTAATCATTACGACTATTGATACGCGCTGCTCCCAGACCATCCGCCAAAAACCGTCGAACGTAGGCGGGAGTGGACCCTGGGTACCGATGTAAGCTCGCGCTCTTTGCCATCCATCGATGTAATTCGCGTTAACGTAATCCTGACCCTTTTTAGGCGGCCCACCGCCGCAGGAGAGCAATTGCACACGAGTATGGTCGTCTAATGATAATAACATAAAGAATAAAATTAAACTGCCTCGCCCAGTTAAGGCAACGCCTCCGCATTCTCATTACAATCGTAATCTCCACAATTATAATTTGTTACCGGTCTAAAAATACGGATTTTAATCGCGCTAGACTAGACGATTATCCACTTATCAGTTTGGTCGACGCAAATATCAGCGTACTCTATTCAAGCCAAGATATATTTTATATTACCTCATTTTTATTTTTATCACCTCATTTTCGGAGATTATATCGATTGTTCCAACTCGTGGATAATGAAGAGACATTTTCTATTTCGAACGCGCGAATTTCGCGAGCGCGAGAGAGTATTCTCGATTCGTGGTGAACTTTACTTCTCTCCGAACGAATTTATTATTCGACTACGCGATAAGTCTAGCTCGAGCTTTAATTTCTTGTCGTCGAAATTGATAATGATACGTCATGATCTCAGCCAGATGGTATCGACGCGGGGGTCAGCGACTGAGGGGTCAAGCCGAGCTGAAATAAATCAAACGGAGCAAATACGTATTCATTGACACGACACGGCAAGTGGAAGCCATCCTTTAAAAAATGGAACGCTCTCGCGAGAAGCGGAGAGAGACAGAGCAGTGGTATTACCGGTTCTATATTAAGATATTTCCTTTCGTTTGTAAATATTACGACTGCGCACGAACGGGCGATACGTCAATTGCTACTTACACGCGAGTATATTCAGATATCTGTTCTTGGCCTTATTCTCAGCGAACTGGGAATTCTCCACGGTATAATCGCCGGTCTCCGACTGTATTAGCTCGTATTCTTTGCTGAAACCGATGTCACCGTCGGCGTGAAGACTCGCAACGTGCTGAACGAATTGCTGAACGGCCACGGCGGTCCTCTCGCCGTCCTGCTCGCTGTTCTCCCATTCTTGAAGCGTAGGAACGTTCCGTGGCGGATAATCCAGGTAATAATAGGCAGTGTGGAAACATTTCCTAAAGATCGGTCTAGATAAAAAAAAGAAAAGGGTATCTCTATATATATCTCCTTTTTTTCTAAACACATTTTGACAAAACATTTCTACAAATGTTTAAAGAATCTTTTATGTACGTTATTTTTGAAAAACAATTTCAAAGGTATATCGATCGTCTACAATAATGAACTACGCTCCACAATTAATTTAGGATTATTTAAGTATCCGAGCTGCAGAGTTTGTAATCGATGAGAAACACGTATGGGTTGGGCAGATAGCAACGATCAAATATTGATACACTAAAATCAATGCCGATAACACATTCCTCATTCGTATCACACGGCTTCGAATTCACGGATTTCACCGAAACTTACAAGTTGCGAAAAAACTTCTTCATTTCGGCGGCATAATCTTCCGGATGACAGCATCCATCGTAGGCGAGGCCGCCCGCGAATAATCAACGCACGCGTTTGCGAAATAAATGACGATTAGGCCGGATCCCGTCCGTGACCCAGAAAATGAGTTTGTCATCAGCCACGGCCGCCGATCCTTCGCACATCGCTCTCGCGGTTGCCTCGTAGTTCCTGAACGTCACCCGAGACACTGACGCGCAAGAAACGAGAAGAAACGGAGCACGCGGAGCACGAACAGCACACGCGTTCTCGCTCTCGTGGCGCGCAAAAGTCTAACTCGATGCGTGCGGCGTGGCGTCACGCTGCGTTGCTCGGCTCCGAGCTTGGCTTCGCTTCGCTCCGCTCCGCTCCGCACCGTGCCACGAATGGCCTACGGTGACTGTAAGAGCATACTTAGGCCTTGTCACCGGTCGTTATCTCACGATAACGCGAGAGAGAGAGATAGAGAGATAGAGAGACACACAAGAGCGAGTGTCGGGATATTAAAATACGCATCGTATCTCCTTCGCACACGTGTAGAACGTCCCCGTAAATCATGTTTGATAAAAATTCGTTGGTATTAGCGGAATATATATATAATAGAAAGGGAAGCCGTGTTGTATAGGTTTGCTACAATAGGAAAAGGAAAAGGAAAAGAAACAGGGAGAGAGAGACAGAGAGATGATGTAAAAATAATATCAATATCGTCTCTTTCTAAAGAGAACAGGTAGAAAGAGACGAAGAGTGAGTTTCCGAAACGCATCCAATTTTGGGGACCAGGCATTAATGACGCCGTACAATACATACATATATTTCAAATAATTTACAGTGCATCATGATTTGACGATAAGAAATTTAATAAGAATACAATTTATAAGAGACTTATTTTTTATTTCAATTTTTAAGATATTTTTTATGATATATGCAATTTATTATATAAAATATACTCAAATAATGTACATCATGATTTGACGATGAGAAATTTAATAGAAATGAGATTGTAAAGGACATATTTCATTTTAATTTTCAAGATACTCTTTATGTTATGCAATTTATCATCTTATTTACTTGGGTGACATTATTAAATTAGTTTATAAAATGAAATGTGTAGCGTAGGAGAATTTGACGAATTACTATATAAACTTTCTCCGAGAACGAGATAATCCGAGGATCATAAATGAGAGGAGGTCGCTGGGACGATATGGGCCGCAGCGGGAAATCAAGTGGGAAAGTCTGAATGGGGAAAAATAGTTGCGGGTGCGTGCGAAGGTGCGCGTGATTGCATCGTTCGCTTCGGAAACTTTCTAATTGCCCGCGCCGTACTCCAAATGCGATTCGCGATCCAGGCACACGTTATTTGCGCTCGTATGTATAGGTACCGATATTGTCCGGTCGACAATTTCCAGCTAACAAAAATAACAGATCATTTGTAGCGTTAGATCGGCCGGCGCGGAGCGGAAGTGAAACGTCGGCGATGCGAAATAATACTTCGCAAGATCGACCGTAACTGTAAAGCGTAACTTGTTGCAGCGAGAGAAAGTAGATCTCTCGTTGTCATTTCTCTCCGTTATGCGGTTTTTATTCCAACTTTTCGATCGTACTTCGTATCGGTCGCGATAAAGACGTAACTAATTTATTAATTAATCTCGGCGTAGGCGTCGTTGCAATTACGTAAGGAAAAGAGGGGGGAGGGCTTTGTTTAACGTGTGTCACAGATTGCCCGGATAAAAGATACTGATCTTTTATCCGGGAAATTTAAATGACGCTACAGAGAGCGACAGGCAATATTTATATAATACGCTCAAAGAGTTTCGATTTTTATTTCTTTCTTTTCGCGCGCGCGCGCGGTTGCGCTCGTTGGCGCGCGACGCGGAAATATGTATATCGCCCGGTGTGCGGTCGGATGCAGCTAAAGTTTCCTCCGTATGCGCGATAACGCGCCGTGCGTTAAACCGTGACTTACTTCCACAGCACGAAGGACGTAATCGCCAGCATCACGGCGAAGCAGGCGCAGACCATTCCGGCGATCACGCCCGCGCTGAGATCCTTGCTGCTGCGGCGCATCAAGGGCGGTATCTTGTCGCAGTCGCGGGTGACCAACACCTTCGTCGGTATTGAGCTGTCGCCTTGAATGATCAGATGGCTGTCTATTGTGCTCCTGGTGGCCCCCCGCACCATGATCTCGTAAACGGTGTTCACAGTCAGGTTGGGTATAATCGCCTGCGAGCATGAATTCATAAACGTTTCTTACGGTTACGTCATAATTGCTTTTATCTAAATAAAGACTTACTGACGAGATAAAAAATTAAGTAGCTTTTATTAGTAAAATTATTGTCAATAGTGGAACAGTTTATAAATTGTTATATTAGATATAAAATGTGTTAATCTCTTATCATTATTGTTGAATATTAAATTGTAAAATGTACCCCGCTTTCGAGATGATTTTTGTCGGTCGTCATTTCGATCTCCTCGTAATATCTCCCATTGTCCCTCCGATAATTGATGTAGTAATAATCGATCGAGCCCCAGAAGTTCGCCGGCCTGGCCCAGTGAACGTAGACAGATTCGTGGGATTGGCAAGTTAAATTCAAGATCTGAGGTGCGCTCGGTCCTGTTATGTCGGTCCTGCGAATGATCTGATCGGATGGCTCGCCCTCGTTCTTCCGCGTGTAAGCCTTCACCCAGATCTTGTATTCGGTGTACGGATCTGCAACGGGACAGTGCGAAGATCATGAGTGATATAATTGAGCAAATTAAATTTCATGAATAGGAGTCAAGAAACTAGTTTCGGCACGACCGTATCTAATCGGATCTTAACGAGATCCTTTCCCGACGCGATAAAATACTTGGTTGCCTCACCATCCGTAATTACAACGAATTGTCTAACGATGCATTTACTTGCGCCGAGCGGGCGCAAGTAAATGTGAGAAAAAAAGTGCGTGCGGCGATAAGAATTCTTCGGGCTTTTCTTATCAATAAACTAAGTACACCGACCTATCTCCGGTCGTCTGCTGTAACGACTATTCGTTGTCGAGCGAAGATTACATGGTTAATCTCGCGTTATCTGGCGCGTTAAAAAAAGACACAAAGGCCGGATAGCGCGCGTCGACCGATGCTAAACATCGTATATTTGCGCGTTAAAGTAAAAAGATAAACTGCGTGACATTGTCAGAGAAAGAGAGGTATCCGCTAATCACATTCCCACAATTTAGAACAATAGAATAACGTTTAAGTGATGTCATCCGTGCCTGCCGTGTTTTTCATGCACCTTAGAAGCTGGAAGGTATATATACTTACGCAGTTCTTTCAGAACGAATTCGATGTACGTGTCGTCGGAGTCCGCAGATTTGTCGGGTATGTGCATCTTAACGTCCGTATAATTGGAATGCATGTAGTAAACGCGATAACCGGCGATGACACCGTTGGCGTTCTCAGGCTCCGACCAGAAGAGTTCAATGGTGGTGCCCGTGATTCCCCGAGAGGTGAGATTCTCCGGCTTTGTCGGCGCTGGAAGGAAGAGAGAGAAAAAAAAAAACCATGTTTTTTTATTACAATACGTTAACCTTTTCTTTTCTCGTCATCGTTCGCAATGTCGCGCTGAGACAAAGTATTCAGCGCGCTCAGAAATAGTAAACTAGGCCAGTAGAAATCCTTATTTCATTCTTTCATTGTTCAGGCGGAACGCTTCTTCGTACGTGTTGTCTGTATTTACATCGACATAAAGAAATAGACCGGGCACATGCGTCGCATACTTTTCTGACACATTTTCTGTATATATGCACGTTGGGTCAGGCATAACGGAAGAGAGAGAAAAAGGGAGAGAGATACGAGACATCGGATCTTATCCTGCTCTTTACTACGCGTCGCATTGATAAGGAAAGAATATGACTCCGATGTTCTCTCGCTGGATACTCGGGGGGGATATATACAGCCGACGCTGCCGGGTCCATTTCTATACAGTTTACAGTTATCTGTTCTCTCGAGCAGCAGATATCGATACCCAACTGTATTTCCATTTTTCTAAAGCTTTATTTTCTCGAATAAATAATACGGATGAATAAACGGCCATCGAAGCGTTCATAAGAGAGTTCAAATTTATTGAATATTCATACATCTGCCGCGGCATTACCATACGCCGCGCGGCGTGCGGTATAAAACATGCAAATTGATTTGCATTCTATCGTCGGCTGCGTAAAATCATTGACAGTAGACTTGCTTGGACGGCATACCGAGACGCACTCTAAATAGAACATAAGACACTTGTGGTATGAGAGAAATCCTGTCAAATCTTCCGATTAAAAGTAAAAATAAGGAAATATGTAGGTGCTTGATAAATCAAGACTAGATTCTTAATTAAATTAAGTTGAAGAGTATAAGAAGTCTCTTTTCAGCGCGATGTTAAATTATTTTACTCATAACTATCGACAATGCGGGCAAGAAAATCATTTCCTCTCGCTGACTCCTATCCAGAATTTATTTGGCGGTCGTTAGTTCGCCTTGTCATCTCCTACGATACTCCGCGTTTAAAGCTTATCGAATTCGCATTAGATTAACGACGTGTAATAAAACGAGCGAGGCTGTCGGAGAACGGGAGAGTCACCTTTTACAAGCTTTACGAGCTACGGCGGCGGATGATGTCATATCGAGTCTGTGCACGCACGCGGGGATCGTGTTCTCGTATTACTATCGGGCTGAAAAGCGAATACGATTACCGGTCCACGAGGCGCAAGGTCGCGATCGTTGCACGGCGGCGCGGAAAACGATCTACGTCGAAACTACTTAGAACTCGCTGACGCTCCGATGTTCGTCGGAGCCACGTTCTGTGACGAATCGTCGAGAAATGATCTCATCCATAAGTGGGGGGGGATGTCGCGAAGCGATTACGCGACAAAGCGTCGTAAAGCGGGCGTCAAACGATGCACCTCAATCGCACGCAATTGCGACGATCGAGGGAAAAACCCCCACGCGTCAAAGAATTATCGTGCATTTCGCGGAGCCGAGGGACCGGGGAGAACTATGTAGGCGAAAGTGCCTTTTATTAAGATAGGTTCCCACTGAAGTAACGGTTCACGAGTGAAAGGAACAGCCGATAAGAAAACCTGAGGTACCTGCTTCGAGTGCCGGACTCTCGCGTCTGCATGCTCTTCGATTTGTACCGCCACGAGTTGCATCCGATCGAGCTGCAGCTATTCCGAGTTCCTTTGACTTTCGTCCGCGAGCGGAGAATTTCGATTGACCAATTAATATTCTTTATTTTAATCTTTCAATACAAGGAAACGATTATCTCTCTGCAAATTCTGTTAATAGAGATATTTTTTTCAATTTTGCAATTTATTATGCTAATAATTGTCTTACTTCATATATAAAAGTTACTTTAAGGAGTCATTAATTCTTCGCAACGGCGAGAGGCCCTGACATGCATTTACACGTCCGGATTAGGCTACCGGCCTTGGGTCCTGTCATAAAAATAGAATGTCCGGATCTCACGCGCGCGCGAGACGTAACACGGCGCGGTTTTACTCTCGCAGACAATTCTGAGGACAGGCGTATTTCCATAATTTTATACTCCGGCGACACTTGAGGTCAGTAAGTAATCGTTGCCATGGCGATGCACGTGCTGCACCGCTATATGTTGCACAAGCGACGAAAAAAAAGGCAGATGTGACGTGTGCAGGCTTTTAGGTATACGAAAACGCGGAGTCAATCTTGTCAATATTTTATTACGCTTTTACGTGGGGAAAACAATACGCTGGCCGGTTCGTCCGCAATTACGGTCGGGCGAGTCCCGCGCGCGCAATAAAAAAAAAATGTTGCAAAATATTCGTTTTCCCGTGACGCACAAAGTCAGGCGGCAATTGCAACGCGCGTTACAAAATAAACCGGCAAACGATTCACGCTTGTGTCATAATATACCGCGGCACGTGTACCGTGTGTGCACGCGCGTCGGTGTGCATTTAAAAACGTTTGCGCAATCGTTGGGTGTGCATTGTAGGTGAACCGCGGAGGTTCGCGGAGAAGGCGATTCGCGCCTCTCTCGCGTCCTTTAAGGCGTCTCGCGGGCGAGAACGAGGGACGCACGTACGTTGCACCGCGCCGCGCCGCCTGTCGCGTTCCGCGAAATCGAAACGGAACGGGAAATGAGTTAAGCGTCGATTACACGAGTGGACAGAGTCTTATGCTCGCAAGGTGATTACGAGGTGGCACCGCTGCGTGCCGAGTGACGCTGTAACGCAATACACTCGCGAGCGGGCGCGTGGTATTTCCTAGTGAAACTCGCGCGTTTGTTTTTGCCAATTAATTACGCGTTAAAACGCGCGCGAGATTTTCACCGCCGGACTCGTTTGCATATTTCGAGCGCGCGACACCTCTCGTTTTACTCGCGCGAATATGAATTGTCGATTCAGAGTTGATTTTCTTTACGTTATCGTTAATAATGCCAATGTTCGGTTCATCTTGGCGCGCCGATCGATTATATTATCAAACCGACTGTTAGAGAGTAAGTAATTGGAAACGCATAAACATAAATAAAATTCCATTTCCAGACGCAACATCGGATCGGATTTACATAATCTTAATTTTGTACGTTGTAATTCCACGCCACATTGAAGGAGATTTGGATTCGTAGTACAGTATCGCAACGAGGTCTTATCCGCTAAATGTTATCTTTGATCTAACGAAGATGCTGTAAAATAATACACTGGAAGCACCGCGAATGCATGATGTCACTTCTTCATTATTCATTTATTGTTAGTGTATTTTATTTCTACCGCTATCAATACATATCGTCTCATTATTTGTTACATTTGACATTAAAACTACCAAGGGAGTCAAAATCTTGTTTAACATGTTTTAAAATAATTATTATTCATTTTTGAAACGTCACAATTTCTGAATTTTTCTCTGATTTTTATTAAAATACAGATAATTAATTTTATTTTATTTTATTTTTTTTTCATTTTGATCCCTTCAGTAGTTCTAGTGTTAATTTCTATTATTATCTCACATATGCATCGGTACATATATTCTTTGTAGCGTTTCCTTTCATAACATATTCTTAGTCTAACGCCTCGCACTTTTCCCGAGTAGGAGGAACAACTTTGCGTCAGCCTGTCTGTCGCAAGGTGACTTCGGCGAATTACCTCCGATATCGCTGTCATTCTCCGTGGAAAACGGCATAATGTAGGTCGTCCGCTCGAAGATTTGCTCGTCGGTTGTCTGCGTGATCGGATCCGCCGTGGCGACGAGGAGTCTCAGGAGCAGGGCTAGCGAGGCCGCCAGTTGAGCGACACTGGCCACGCTGGTCCACGACATTTCTTCTTCTTTCTTCCTTTCTTCGCACGCTGCGACTGCAGCTGGTAGAACGCCGCGTGCTCGCGTGCGTGTGTCTCTCTCTCTCCTTTTCTCTTTCCTTTATTCCCTTCTCTCTTCGCTCCAAATCTTCCTTCTTTCTCGCTATTTCACGAATTCGCCCATCCTCGCCGGAGAAACACGGCGCGCTCCTCTCGCGACGCGTTTTCGCTCAATTATTATCGCAGCGTCGTCCAAGAACAGAGCGCACAACGACGCATTGTACACCGGTCGGTTCGTGTGTTGTCACTGTCACATCGCGGATGCGAGAGGTTGCTTGGGGTTATCGGGCGACGGATCAACCTTTCGAGAATCGTCGCGGCGGCGGCTGCACGACGCTAGATTCGAGAACGACTACTTCCTGTTTGGGAACAAACGACCTCGCATGAGTCTCGAGCGCGAGCTCCTCGCGAAACGGCCTCGGCTTGCGCGAAAGAGAGACATCCCGAGCGAGAAATCCCGGCGGAGTGTGCACGGAATAGCGGATGCGGATAACTCGCTATCTACGGAGAGCCAGAGAGAGAAAGAGAGAGAGAGAGAGAGAAAGAGTTCCGCGAGGTCAGACTCGACTCTGTCTGCCCAGCCTCGGAAAGGTCGAATCGAAAGTTGACATCGATAGCGCACACGGTGCATTAACTCGCGCCGATAAGACACGCGCGTACACTGCTTTATCAATATTTAAACTACTCCCGTAGCGATACTCCGATAGTAGTCGCTTTAACGTTGCGAGTAAATGCGCGAAAAGGAAGATCGCTAGATGGTAGCCGAAATATTATTACGAATACCAATCGCGTCCCCATTCATCATCGAACGCGTGATCATGTATCACGAGGGAGGAACGTAGGCAGCAGCGGATTATTCGGCCCCCTTGGAACGTTGTAGAGCGACTTCCCCTTGCATTTTTAGTGGATAGAGTTTAGTAGATAGACTAGGGGAATATATAGCGCTGTTATATTCCTAAACAATACTTAACGCTACACGACGGTATCAATATCGATGTATTGAATTCTGTATTCTAAATAATAATGCAGGTATATAGAAGTGAAAAATATCTGAAAATGTATTTATAATCAAGGAAGAGTAATTTAATTACACATCGATAAAAGTTAGAATAAGATTTCTGAAAACCAATTTTTTTTCAAGATCAGTTGGGCTTTATCGATATAAAATATTTTGTTAATCGTTAAAATTTTTGCTTAAAAAAGTATTTGAAATTAAAGGACTCTTGCGTATTCGCATTTGTAGAGATTAATTCGCGATTATTTCTTAAACGTTTTCGAAACGGATGGAAGTCTTTTCACATCTTTACGGGAAAACCGATTTCTAAATAAAATTTCAGCACGAAATAGAAAGTTCGTGCACGTATGGACTTTTCCAGCCCGTATCCCATATCCCTTCAATTTCCGATCGACGAAGAGAAGGAACTCTCGAAGCAATGAGAGTGAATTTTCCCGATACAATGTGAACAATTAAATATCAGTCGCGAGAGAAACTGCGTTGGCTCGAACGCCAGGTTAAACGGATAAAGAAGCAAATTACAGGACGGCCAATAACAATAGCGCTTCCTCGTCAATAGAGAAAGAGAGAGAGAGAGAGAGAGAGAGAGAAAAAGAGGACGAGATATCCCTCGTGCAAAGAGAGGATCGCGGTCCAGTTTCATATTCCATTCTGCTTAATTAGCACCGCGGAATAGATAAATAATTACGAGAGTTTTGGAGCACAATGCCGACGAATAACGCGACACGCGTTATTTCACGACAATATAAACTTTTATTCAATGCAGAAGAATTGCACACGTGCGATCACGTATAACGACCGGCCGCAATTGGCTCATAAAGGAATAATGACATTTCGTTAAAGATCTTTTCATGCGTTTTTATTGCGAATCATAAAAGATGCGTATATTGCGTTTCACGTATTGGAACGGTAATTAAAACATAATATTTCCTTTATGGGTTTACGATCGATGTTATTGTAATTGAAATACACCATCTATATATAGTTGTGCATTGAACATGTATAACGTTGAATAATTTGTTAGCGAAATATTTGAAAACGTTGGTCCTCCGCGGAAAAGAGCGGATGTAAAGCGGATGGGGTTAATCCACGATTCCCACGTCAATTCGCTCGCTCGAGTTTTTTACTCCGCTGCAGCGAGTCGGAACCCTGAATATAATCGTCCAAACGAGAGCGGGAAAAAAAAGCTCGGGACCGCGCCCCATTTCGTGACTCGTCTACATTCAGCCGGCGCGGAATGAACGTTTCGCACAATGAAGCACTATCGAAAATTACGTCGAGAATTATCCCCGGAAGAGGAAGGAAGAGCAATGATAACGAACGAATAAAATCGGCACGTTCCGTAAAGAATTTCGTAGCGTAATCACGTTTCGCATCTTACGGAAATAGGAAGCGAGGAAGGGCGAGACCGGCGAGCTTCCGAGAGAGCGCGATCTTTTCTTACGTTTTCGGTCGCGGTGAAAGAAAGAAGGAGAGAAATTGTCGGAGAGAGGATCGCATGTCGCGCGTGCGGATGGACCATTCATGAGGAACGTCAGGTCGAAATTGGGACGGCCCGAGAGAGTCTGGTGGATTCGAAACGGCGTGGCGGCGCGGAATGGATTGACCCCGATCGCGTTCGCTCGCTCTCGCGATTTTTGCTCGCGAGAGAAGTACCGGAGGAGCGTGCGTTGAACCTGTCGTCGTCGACCCTGCGACGATCTGTCGTCGTCGTCGCCGCCGCCGCCGCTCCTTTCCCCGCGCGTCTCCACGATGCGGCCCCGCAGCGGATGCACCGAGTTTCGCCGATCGAACTCGCAACGACGACCGAGTCCTTCAACGTCGCATCGTTGTCGTTGCCGCGCGTCGCCGCGCTGCGCCACGACGGAATCGTTCGATTCGGCTATTTTTCCTCTCGTGTCGAGTCGGACCGGAAGTTAAGGAGACGCCGCGATCCGTTTCTTTTATTATTCAACGGGACTCGGCAGTCTGATTGATCCGTTTAGAATCACTCTCGTAGCGACGCTTTTATTATTCAATAGTATTTATTGTCTGGTTTAACGATTTTATTAATAATTTTAACGATTTTAATGATTTTAACGATTTTTCCTCGTAATTCCTAATCGAGATTCTTTCCAATAGCAACATTTTGGAATAGTTAGATGTCGAATATAAATAAAATAAGTTAAATAATAAAGTCGACAGATGTGTCATTGAAGTTTATCGATATTCCTTGTTAATCAAAGTGACTCATATAATAGTGCTATATCGGTCGTTTATTTCTTCCACCGAATACAAAGGAAAAAAACGAGCGGAGTGTCATCAAATTCTATTGATGTTCGCAAAATGAGTTGCAGTAGAAATCTCTCGCGTCGAATACAAAAGGACTGAAAGCTAAGCGACGAGGAAAAGCTACGATTTAGTCCGCATTTTCACTTTAATGGCACCTGTCGTCTCATTAAAACCGATTAGTGTTTTTCGATAATCAAAATCATTCGCGAAACGCGTTTGCTCGCGACGATGATTCGCACTCGACACGAGTCAACGCACTGGAAATCAAAGAAAAGAAGAGAGAGAGAGAGAGAAAGAGAATATAGCATTATTTCTTTGCACAATGAATACGAGTTTTGCTTTCGCGTTTCTCCATCGATTAATCAGCTCCTTCTTTCTCTCCCATTTCTCTTTCGAGCACTCGCCGAAGCGTCATTCACGAAGTACGAGGGCATGAAAGAATCTCAAGGATTTTTTCCGAAAGGAACACAACAGTTCGGCCCGGACTTCCTGCACCTGCCCGATACACTCAAAGACGAAACGGACGATCGAACGAGACCAGATAGAGAAAGAGAAAAAAAAACCCGTCGAAAGGCGTAAAGAAGATACCCGCGATGCTATATAGCGTACCCTGTCGCGGAGTACAGAGGATATTACGGATTCGCCGCACCAGTTTCATTTCGGCACTGCTCGACGTGCACATCTCTCGCTCACGCTCGCGTCTCGCGTATCGACCCCTCGACCCCGTCGTCTCTGCCCACTCCGAAATCCGATTCGGAGCACCGGGGACCCTCCGATCGAAGAGCGCGACTCCCCCGGCGACTCTCGCGCGGCTCGAACAAAGGATCACACCCAGGCGAACGGGCTCGCCCGCGATATATCCTGGCGATTTTGCGGACTAGGCGTCAACCAGCGATCCGGAGAAGGCGTCGTCGGAATCGACGGTCCGCCGCCATCTCGGCGAGCTCGCGTTCTCTCTCTCTTTCTCTCTTTTTCATTCTCTCTCCTTTCCTCTCTTCCTCTCTCCCTCTCTCTTTCTCTATCGAGGGGCGACCTTTCTCTCGGTCGCGACTTTTTGCACTCGGCGATTCCGCGATTCCGCGATTCCACGAGCCGCACCGACCGCAATCGACGAGAAACGCACGCGATATTCCGACGCCGGAATTATTATTCTACACAGGAGAGCGGGGCACTCACATATCGGGACGACGGACGCGCGTACTGTCAACCGCGCGCGCGAGCGCGACGCGTGCACGCCAACGACTACACGCGCACTCGCGCTGCATCGAGTTTGCGCTCACTCTGAATTACGTTCACGCACTCACGCGTATGAACGAGCGCGCGCACACGCGCTTTTGCGCTCGTCGCCGCGGCTCGTACATCGTCCCTCGTATCCGGCGCACCGAAAGCACCGCGCGAGAGCAGAGCGTCGTGAATTTCGCCCTCGCGCGTTCGAAATATTTGTATGTATCGCAATACCGGCTCGAGGAACTCACGCAGAACTCACTCCGCTTTTCCGTACACGCGCGGCTTCCCGACAACGTTGCACGCGGCCGAGAGAACCGAGAGACGCACGTGCGTCCGACGCGGAATCGGTATTCCGCTCCCGTCGTCGTATTCCGGATGACGACGAGGACGACGAGCGGACCGGCGGCTTGCTGGCGTGCCGATGCAGCGTGCTCGCCGCGGCTGACTCGAGCGGGCACTTCTCTCTTCCTGCTCTCTCTCTCTCGCTCGCTCGCTCGGCTGCCGCGTGCTGAAAAATCGGGGAAAATCGATCGTCGAGACCAGGCGCGGCGCCGACCGAAACGCCGTGGCAGGCAGCTGCTCCCGCTTTCTCTCTTTCTCCCCCTCTTTCTCTCTTTCTCTCTCTCTCTCTCTTTCCCGCTATCTCTCCTTGTCTCTCTGCAGTCGGCTTCCTCTGTCGCACGGTCGCCGGCTGTCACGATCCCCACTTCTTCCCCTTCCTCCCGTTCTGCATCTCCCTCGCACGAGCCGGAGCCTCTCTTTCACTCTTGGATCTTTGAATCAGCTGCCTCTGTCCTCTCTCTTCATCTCCCTCCCCCTCTCTCTTTCGTTCTCTTCCTCATACTCATTAATAAGCTCACAAAATAAAGTCTCGTTGACAACTTCTCATAAATTTACAAAATAAACTCTCGTAAAATACTAAATCTATATTGAATGTCGGGAAATATTTCCGTGGATGAGAAATTCTCAAGGGTATTCGCAGGTACAAAGTATCGCGCATCTTCCTAGATTATGGGAATACTCCCCTCAAGAATGGTGCACTCCCGACGTCCGAGAGGAATTTCTATCGCAGACGAGAGTGCGACGGCAGGTAGAAAGTTGTCGGTGGAGTAGATGCGCGCAGACCGGTGATGACGATGATTCAGGATATAACGATGAAAACGATGAATCACCGACAATTTATATAGGCTACTACAGTGCGTTCTAAATGCGTTAGAAACGAGGATGGAACTTCTTGTGGAGAGACCTTGACGATCGTTTTTCCTCGGGGAAATCGCGCCGAAGCTTTATCTTGATTTTAATTGCAAACGCCAAATACAATTTCCACAGATATCGTTCGCAATCCGGCGCGAATTTTCACAGCGCGATAAAAGAGATTCCGAAGTCTAAGTCTATGGACAACGCGAATTCCTGCTTAATAATTAACGTATATGTTAATACAATGTTGATACAAACGATATTGTGCACAAGCAAACGTCCGCTCTCGTAACTGCGCAGAAATCTCGTCTTGCAGCTGCAGCTAAACCAGCTTGCCGTTGAATATCGCGCTGCAAACGATACAACACCGTTCTGCTTTACCGTACTTGGGTATACACGGTATTCTGTATCTGGTACTGTGCTCGAAGAGAATTTTCCTAATTTAATTTCGCACTCAGTTTTTTATCGTTCCGACTTTCTGTCTCGCGCGCGAGATCGCGCAATGACGATTTTCTTTTTTTTTTCTGTTCTCCTCCATCCGCTCTCTTACTTACCACCCTCGTCGGTCATCACCGTCACCGTGGAAGCGGGCCCGTGACCTTCGGGGTTGAATACTTGCAGGGAGACGAGGTACTGCGTGAAGGTATCCAAATTGTGAATACTGTGATTCTGAAAGACAAAGAACATTTTCTTTTCTTTTTCTTTTTTTTTCTTTTCTCTCCTAACAAACGGTGCGCAAAGATGAGTTGTCAAAGTGACTTACGTCGACAGCAGGATCGCGAATGTAGATGTTTTTCATTTCCTCATCCGCTTTCTCGCGTCGCCGATATCCTATGCGATACCCAAGGAACTCGCCGTGTATGGTGTCGCGACTCGGCGGCTTCCATGCCAGATAAATAGACGTCGCTGAGGTATTGTGGGCCGCCGTGATGGTCGGTTTTCCTTCTGGTACTGCAAACAAACGTATATATTGTGCGTAAATCCTTCCGATCCTAAACTTCCGCTGCAGGAATCCCCAAAATAAAGATAAGGGAAAACCTAATCCTGTGAAAAAGCAGCGTCGTGCCCGAGAGAGAGAAAAGTATTACGTTTATAAAATGCAATACGTATATCGTTACGCACGGAAATTCGCGCAATTTCGAGCGGCCAAAGTTCATCTAAATATCACGAGAACAGATTGTTTTGATCCCTTCGGGAAATTCAAATAAATTCTCGCGGTTCTCTCTATTTTTGTCTCTTCTCCTCTGCGTTCCTCACTCCCTTTCTCGTCGAGACGTATAAACGAAACATTAAACATACACGATAGAAATTCAACAGTTTATGAAAAAAAATTGATTCTGAAGAACATACACGCAATATTACACGCCGTAAAAATAATATTTAAAGTGGCGAAACGTGGCGGGCTCGACTGGTTGGAAATCGATAGTTGTGATTGTGTCGAACACGGATAAATACGTACCTCCCCTCCCTCTCCCCGCCCCTTCTGGATGTAGAGAAAAATTAAAACGTAATATTTAACCGGCAGTCACATGGATACAAATTTTTGAACTCTCTTGGAAATTTCAAGTTATCTCATGTATGTGGAGGAGTGCGATGTAAAATTTGGCGGATATTCGTACATGTTGTTGATACATTCGCACGCGCGAATGTATTATATTTTACATCCGACATAGAACGCGTATATTTCCGTCGAAAATCATGTTATCTATGTTAACAATATCCATGTTAACAATATCTCTTCATACGTGCGATCGTTTACCAGTGCACGCACCGTTTATGCCCCCCTCCCCCTCCTTGTAAAATTGTTTTCGAGATCGGGCATTTTTAATCCCGCGTTTCCGCGTGCATGCGACCCTCGTCTAAATTCATATATCGCGATTCATACGTGCTGTAAATTGGTGTCTTTTTCCATAACATTACGAGTCAATGAACGACCGGATCTTTTTACGTCCGAAAAAAATATGTTCGCTCTTATTGCGATTTTTCGCCATGAGACGATTAAAATGTCGTTTCCTTCGGACGCGCGCGTCGCGTTTCACACATCCGTGGAGCACACCGCGCCGGCTATTCAATCTCCGTGACGTCGAGATACACGCGGGGTGTGAGTTAAAAAATGGTCGTGTAATAATTTTAATGCCCGCGTAATTTGTTTGCCTTATCGCGAGAGCAGGGCAGGCAGGTGAGGCGCGTTGTCCCACAGTCACAGGAGCGCGGCGGGCGAGAGCCGAGAGTTCGAAATAATTAGCATCCGCGCGTCACTTTTTGAAACACCCCCGTCGCGCTGTCGCGATATCGCGTCGGCACGTCATCTGACCCGGCCGCGGGGGATGAGAAATTGTTACAGAAATTATATCGAGACATTTAATGCGCGTTGTGCGTCAGCGGCCGCTCAGTTAACCTGACCGACCTCTCCGTCGTATTTAATGTCGGTGAAAACGTTTATTGCACGATCGCAAAGCGATTAATTGCATGAGGACGATCGCGCGGAGCGACGAGCGTCCACGTCGTGCAAGGAATGGGAAAAATAAAGAATTTTGCTGCAATAATAATCGGTCTCGTTATCACCAATTACTTTATTAATTAATTGATCGTCAATTATTTAATTAATTAACGTTTAATTACCGTCTATCTATCTTTATACTCGAAAGCGACAAAGAGGAGAATTAATTGTTAATTTATGGATTTCAAAGAAGAATAACATTAAATTAATTATAATTTCATAATTCTTTCCGTAAACAGAAAGAATGTATTAATTAATATCTCGCATGAAAAATAAAGTCGCGCCAGTGAGAAAAATACCCTTGCTCGAATTGTCGGAAAAGAGGATAATGTGGCGCACGGCGATAAGCTGGCAAAAGCAAATTCGATATTAGTAGAAATATAAGTGAAAAGTGATAAGTCGCTTAGGTAGGCCCCGTCCTTTACTTTCGCCGGGCAATTTAGCGCCACGATAAATGCGAGGCTGCAGTTTTTACCGGGCGCTAAATCTGCGTTAACTTATTATTACCCCGTCGGCGTGTTTATGACGATAGCGTCGGTTTTATGCTTCCGTGATATATTATCGAAGTACCAATTTCGCCACGTAAGCGCTGAAACGCTTAATCGTGACAAACCGTCCGCGTAAACGTTGCTAATATTGTTCTCGAAACCTACGTATCGTCGTAATAGCGTCTAAGTGCGCGAGCGTACATATTACACGGCTTAGCATGCGAAATTACGCCCATGCCGATCGAAGAGCTGGCGTCTTACGTAACACATATTCCTCCGTAATTAAACCTTAATTATTAACTTTCTTTTTCCTAACACGCTCTCATTGTGCTTTTACTCGTAAAACAGCTGAGTTCGCGTCGAACACGACTAGACTCGAACGCGAACGTGTATTACGAACCGAGATAAGGGTGTAAAAAATTAGGCGGTATTGTCGAGGGCGCGACACGATCGAGAATCGCGCCCTGATTTGGTGGTGCTCTCTCGGACGATTCATCATTTAATCCGGGGTCGCGACAAAGTATTGTCGTTATGTAATATCAAGACGGAAAATAAATTACCTCGGTCACACTGTGCTATAGAGATTCCTCCGGGTTCCCATCGCTACGTCGAAACGTGACTCGCGGAAAGGCGCCTTTATTGCATCCCTCTACTACTTTATCAAGCCCGTCGGAATCGAAAATAGTTCACACAGCAGGCAGAAGCTACCGCTCTTTCCCGATTCTCGAGACGACTCCCGCGAATGAACTTACTCAGGATCCCGACCTATCGGATGTTACGGCAGCAACAATGCGATTCGCTTCTTCTCTCTCTCTCTCTCTCTCGCTTTCTCTTTCTCTCTGTCGTTCTTTCGTTCGATTTTTTAGCGACTTCGCTCCCGTTTGTCCTATGTGGAAGTTAATCATACTGAGTGCGGGATATATATCTAATCGATGAGCAAATTCCTCGGTTAAACCAATCGACGATTAAGCCTTGGGTCCTTCATTTATCGTTATTATTACAAGCGGTTGTTAATCTGCTCAACTTGTCCAATATACAGAATTAACAGTGTGGCCACCGAGTAATCTTCTCGGGCAAGCGCAATCGATAGTCGACGGTGAAATATGGATTAGCGTACCGAGTTCTTACGAAATTAGAAATCCAGAAAACTGATACCGGTTATATAAATGGCGAGAAAAAAGTCAACATTATTTCTCGTTTACTTATAGGTAATTTATTTTTATTAAGAGAAACAAAACTGTCATACAAATTGACTTAAAAGAAAGAAGTGCCAATTTAATGCCATTCGTCGAATTGGTAAGACGCCTGTCACGGATTGTGAGACAGGTTCCAGGTTTGAAAAATATCATCTGGTTGAGGTGATATTTTTCGCAATAAATTCTTTACAGCAGGTAATTTAAATAGGATGCTTATTAGCATCAAAGCTAAATCGAGATTTTACTGTCCCAACGGAAGCTGTGTTTTAAAGCCGACAAACAAATCGTCGCGCAGTTTATCAAGTTGGAAATATGTGTACTTGGAAATATACAGAAATATTAATAGGCTACACCAAGATCCTACTCGAACCGTAAATGGCATTTTCTTCTAAATTAATTTACACTTTTACACCTACAAACATTTACAACTCGAGGTTAAATATCGCGTTTACATTCGTAGCTGCGGATCATAGTTGCGAATTCTCACCGGAACATGCCTTTTCATCGATACCGACGGGCGGGCGGAAAAAAAAGAGCGCGCGGCTAGCCGCCCGCCGAGTTTCTGCAATTTTCGGTTCGACTCTCCGACTCGTCGGTGCGAATGAACTTACCGGGACGACGGACGCAGTGCCGACGGGTGTCCCGATGGCTAATTGGTAGCTCGGTTGCGCTGTATATTTATGGCGAGCGGGGGCGAACGAGGTCCGGAAATGGGTACGAGGATCCGTGGGTGCCCGTGTACGTATTTGGACCCGGCCGCGAGTAAAGTGGTAGTGGAGAGAAGTTTCGTCGGTCCGTGCCCTATTGATCCGGGTGTACGGGGGGAGGCGAAAGGGTGCTTTCATTTGAGCCATCGTGAATTCCCGTGCCGTTGCCCACACGGACGAAGCGGGCGAGCGACTCCACCACCGGGGATCGACCTATCTACCCTACCGTCCCCCGGCCTATCCCGTGCCCGATACCCACCGAATTAGAATCACGAATTAGAATCCGGTGGCATAAACCGAGCTCCCACGATGCCCACCGCCGCCGCGCCGCGCCGTGCCGTCCGTCGGTTCCGTTTGTTCACCGAACGCCCCGTCGAATCCGCCCCGTCAAACCCGCCGATCCGCGCGCGCGACCAGATCGGCGAAACGCGCGCAACGTGACCTGTCTACGCGTCCCTGTCAATATTGACGCATTACTCGCCCTCTCGTACGATCGTCGATGTCGAATGTGGGCATATCGACTGCCGCATTCCGTTTCGTACACTCGCAAACTGAAACGAATCGCGCGTCGCGCGCCGCACCGCACCGCACCGCAATGACCGAGGGGAAGATATCGTTTTTCGAAGTGCGCGTCGACAGTGTTTTTCGTTCAAGTCGGAAAACGTATCGCGCGCCCGTAATTAAAAACAAAGGGAACGAACGAGATAAGCGCGAAAGAGTGTCGCCAGATGGGGGAATCGATGAACTCGATCGTATCATCGTTCTGAAAAAATTACAGCCGGTAAAAAATTGTCGTTTTGTTCCTTCCTCCTTCGTATTTAGCGATACGCTTATTCTCCGTTTATTTGTCTCTCGCGGGGGATGCCGTAAGTGACATGCGAAATGTCGTGGCGCAGAAAAGTATGTCGCGGAAATATACTTATTCCGTTTCTCCATACGCCGCGGTCGCGTATGCCGTCGATTTCGTGTGCATACGCGATACTCGCTGCATCGACAACGCGCGCGAATATATCGCGACCGCATTTCATCCATCCGCGCCGCCCTGAACCACCAGCGGGTT